TATGCAAGCAGAAAAAGGCAGTCTTCTGATTGGTTGTTTCTCGGAAGTTAAGCAGACAAACACAGTCTTATGATTGGTTGTTTTCGATATTTCTCGGAAAGTAGAGCCATCTATCTGCGAATCATATTTGTCCACATTTAAGTTTGCTGTGATTGGTTGTTGAAACAGCCTTGTTCATATTTTCTCACGGCCCATATTAGTGACCTAGACATTAACGTAGATTAGTGCCAACCAATCGGCTAGCAGCCTGCTCTCACCACACTCGTCCCCCCGTCAAATAGCTTCGTGCGCAGACGTTCCGACCTTCTGGGTGCTACATCCTCTAGTTGAGGATTGTTACTGACCGGCTTGTCCCACTGTACCCATCTTTGGAGCTGACTGGCGTTAACTCGTTTCTGTTTATCACCTCTTCGGATGGTATATACTTGACCCCGTCTTTTTGTGATTGTGTATGGTCCTTCCCACTTTGGAAGGAGTTTCCGTGAACCTAGCCCGCCTCCAACTGTATATCTCCTGTCTCTACACTTCACTTGGTCCCCGACTGCAAAGGTAATGCACTGCGTCCTTTCTTTCATCTGAGACTTCGTGACATCACTGCGCTGCTTCCGTATTACATTCTTGACTGCCTCTTTCCTCTCTGCTTTTAATTTCGTCGTACTCCACTTTTGGTGCATGGGCCAGGTCTCATTGTGTACCGGTAATCGTGGTTTTCTACCATACATCAGTTGGAAGGGTGACTTCTTCGTTGTTTCCTGAGTGGTAGCCCGATGTGTTAGTAAAATCAGTGGAAGCTCCGTTTCCCAGTTCCCGCCCTTCGAGGCCAGCCACTCCTTCAGTGTACGGTTGTTTCTCTCCGTTAGGCCATTCGTTTGTGGATGGTATGGGGTCGTTCTGATCCTCTTGATGCCCAGCTGTTGCAAACGGGAAGTAAACTCTTCACTCTCGAAACAGGGACCTTGGTCTGTCAGTATTGTCTTCGGTACGCCGTGGTCTGCAACAATGTGTCTAACTACTGCATCTGTCACGGTTCTTGCACGTTGGTCTGGGATTGCTACGGCGTCTACCCATCGTGTCGCGTGTTCCGTCATCACCAAGAGGTACTGATTACCATTGGATGTCTGAGGAAATGGACCCATGACATCTACGGACCACAAGTCACCTATCGCGGTAACTGGAATCGACTGAAGTGGTGGTCGTATATACCGGTCACCTTTCATCAGCTGGCACCGTGGACATCCAAGTACGTATCTTGCTACGTCTTCTCTCATACCTGGCCAGTACATACTTTGTCTTAGGAGGTCGGTCGTTCTGGCCACGCCTGTATGCGCTAGCTGGTGACATTCTTCTATCATGTCGTGGCGCGACGATTGAGGTATGACAGCCAGCCAGCTTCCGTCGTTCTCTCGCCAGGTCAGAGTCCCGTAGGCATTCACTCTGAGTCGATCCCTCTGTCTGAGTAGTGTGGTTAGCTCCTTACTCGCCGTAGTTTGATCCACTTCTATTCCGTTGGTGATCACCTGTATTACTGTATTCAGCGTATCGTCCAACCTCTGCCTACGTGCAAGTCTTAGTGGGTCTTGTTCTACTGCATGCACTCCGTAAGCGACCTCGGGCAACTCAGACTCATCTTCTGGTCTCGATAACAAATCTGCCAAGACATTTTCACTTCCAGGAACGTGTGAGATCGTAAAATCGTACTCCTGAAGACGCAACATCCACCGTGACAACTTCCCCCGTGGGTCTCTCGCTGTCTTCAAAAATTGTAGCGGCTTATGATCAGTTTCGATGTGGAACCGCCGGCCGAGTAAATAAGGTCTCCATTTGTCGACTGCCCATACCATTGCTAAACATTCTTTCTCTATCGTTGAATACTTTCTCTCTGTGAGGGTCAAAACCCTACTGGCATACTCAACGATTCCCTCGTCCTGTCTTAGGACCGCACCTATAGCGTAGTCACTGGCATCTGTGCACACTGTGAACTGTCTTCCTGGCACAGGTAGTTTTAGCGTCATTTGTTGGTGGTCGAGCAGCTGTTTAATTCTGTCGAATGTCCTCTGCGATTCTTCCGACCAAACAAACTTTGGCTCACCTAGTAGCCTGTATAGAGGGGCTGCTATCTCATTGAAGTTCTTCACGAAGCGACTATAAAACGCTGCTCTACCCAAGAATTGTCTCAGTTTTCTCTTTGAATTCGGGGCTGGAATCGTTTTAATCGTCAAAATTTTCTCCGGCAGTGGTTTAATCTCACCATTTCCCACTTTATGTCCCAACAGAGTAACATTCTTTTTGGCTATCTGAGACTTGGTTTTGTTGACGCGTAGTCCAAACTCTTCGATGCGTCGCAGCACGGCTTCTACATGGTTGACGTGATCGTTTTCGTTTTGACTGTATATGACGAGATCATCACCATAAACCTCCACGTTTTTCAAGTTCCTAAGTAATAGCTTCATCAGTCGTCTGAACGTAAACGGTGCACCTGCTAGTCCAAACGGCATGCGTTTAAATCGATATTGTGTCTGACCCACGATGAAAGCCGTCTTATCTCTATCACCTTGTTTTATCGGTATCTGCCAGTATCCTGAGCGAAGATCGAGAACCGAAAACACATTCGCACCTTGTAGGCGATCTAAAGTTTCTACCACTGTTGGCATGGCACACGGTCTTAACTCTGTCATACTGTTTAACTGTCGAAAATCAACACAGAATCTATACTTCCCATTCGCTTTTTTTACTAACAGCACTGGAGAGTTGTACGGGCTATCAGCTTCCTCAATAATGTCATCTTTTAACATCTCTTGCACTTGTCGCTCCACTTCGCCTTCCAGATGACATGGAACTCTTCGCGTTAAAAATGACCTTACTTTCGGATCACTTAACGGAATTTCATGATTCACCTTATCGCAATAACCGTATGGGTCGCCATCTCCAGTGAACAGATGATCGTATTTATTAATTAACTCTGTCACATTGTGTACCGTCGACAGCTTAATCGCTGCTATCTCGCTGGTCTCATACATGTTGATATGCCCGTATTTCGTGATCACCACGTTCGCTTGCGTGTCGATTATTGCACCAATCTCACGCAGAAAATCCGCTCCTAATATCGTTCGCTGTAGTTCGGGTACAACAATGAAAGGAAACGTCACCTCGCAGCCACCAACAACGACCGTACAGTTCGATCTACCCGTGATACGCAACACATACCCGCCTACTGTTTGTACTGTCAATGAACACGGGCTAACACTCTTACATAAATTCTTATCTATTAACGACACGGCCGCCCCTGTATCTATCAAACATACTACTTCTCGATCATTCACTCGCAACTTCGAATACAGAGCCCCTTTCTCAATAGCCCCCACTAAATCTAGGTTCATACGAAAGAAAGAACAAGCATTATACCGTCTGAAATTTTTTCTTTTTCGCCTTTCTGGGCAGTATCTTCTCCAGTGTCCCGGCTTACCGCATTCAAAACACCGGTCTTTTCTATCAGCCAACTTTAACGCCGCCACTTCCCGCTGCAATGCTTCAATTTTCTGCTCATATTCGTTTGGTTTTGGTTGGTCTATAGCGGCTACCGTTGTGCTCAGCAGCTGTCTGGTCACCTTCGCCAGCTCACTAATATCCATCGGCTGCGTTGCGTTAACCAGTTGTAATCGCTGAGAAATGTGGTCTGGGACACTCTCGATGAATTGGGAAGACAGTAACTGCGCTTCTGATTCTTCATCTAAAGTGGGAAGCGCGCGTCGAAGTAGATTAGTCAGTTTCACCGCCAACACTAGCGGGTCTCCATCAGGTCCAAGCTTCATTGACCGGAACTGCTGCATTGCTAGCTGTCTGTCTGTTTCGCTGTCAAACTCGGACACTAGTCGTTCAACCAATTTCTTCCAAGACGCTGTGCCATTTGACCTGTCTACGCTGTCATATGCAGCCTTCGCTCGGCCTCTCAACAGCGTCCCCAGGACAACTGCCTTCGCCGCCTGCTCCTTGACACCCACCAGCTCAGCAACGGCCTCGAAGTCACGTAAGAAGCTCCGTATGTCTCCTTCTTCAAACGCAGCTGGCCACGGGATCTTCATCTTTTTGGAGGCAGCGACACCAAATGTAACAACAGAAGACAAGGGCTGGCAACAGATCGTTTTATTACGAAAATCAACACGTATTTATATATATTTTATATGCATTAATAAGGCTTATGCAAGCAGAAAAAGGCAGTCTTCTGATTGGTTGTTTCTCGGAAGTTAAGCAGACAAACACAGTCTTATGATTGGTTGTTTTCGATATTTCTCGGAAAGTAGAGCCATCTATCTGCGAATCATATTTGTCCACATTTAAGTTTGCTGTGATTGGTTGTTGAAACAGCCTTGTTCATATTTTCTCACGGCCCATATTAGTGACCTAGACATTAACGTAGATTAGTGTCAACCAATCGGCTAGCAGCCTGCTCTCACCACAAGTGTAGCAAAAATTTCATGACATGAAAACTTACTGTCTTACACATCAACACAATACGAAAGGGATTTTTGACATACATGATATGCGTGTGTTTACTCATATCACAATCAAGATGTTTATTGTTTTAACTACCGGTTGTTAGTCCACATTAAAAGAAGTGGTAATACAGTCACAGAAACACAAAGAAAAAGAAATAAGGATAGACCAAGGAAGGTCCTGATAGATCATATTTGGTAAGTAATTCATGCACGCAGAGACTGCAACAGGAAGAAAGACATTCTCCACTAAAAAACATTACATATATGTACATACATACATCTGTATAGGCTTCAAATCCACCATAAGAGAAATATCAAGTTTCACGGGACACTCACTAGCACATTACATATGCAAGTAGACAATAGGTAAATGGAGTGTACATGAGGTATAAATCATATCTTTGAAATGCAGTAGTACCGGATTGTAGAGTACACAAATGTTACCATTTTATCCAAATGGCATACTTGTTGGAAATATACAAAGGGCCAATCATTGCATGTGAGACATCATACTAAGAGCTGAAACATCACATTCAACTCACGACCAAACTGACCAGCTCTACTAGCAACATCTTTTGTGCCTAACGCTGAACGTATCGTAAGAAGATGTGACATGCAGTCTTGACATTTTCGACGCCTATAAAATAAAGAAAAGTTGTATTTGAAATCGTTTGTTGTAATGACTCATTTGTGGACTAAAAGATAATATGTTGATGCGGCATATTAGAATAATTCTGTACAAACGGCCTTCGGGAACTTTAAAACACTATCAAATATGCCTGTAACGGCATAAAGAACAGGTTGGAAAGCTAGATCTCAAAATGTTACAAAAATAGAAATGAAATTGAGGAAAATTTGTCAGTAACCCTAATTATTAACAAAGTTACCAACAGTGATACAGGCGATGGCAAAGGTAAGATGGTTATGATAGCCAACACAAAAGAGCTTCATTGGGTGTCTACTGAACTTTCAAGCTAACCTTCTCTGCACATCAGTTTATTGTTAAACGCTTTATAGCCAAACGACGTAAGTTGTAACTCTGCATAAAACACTGTTAGTGATGATGATGATCTCCAGTGATGACTGGAGATTATAATATCGGCCAATGTCAATAATAAGCAATATCTATCAGTTCAAATCTTATCCACTAACTATTCAAGCTTGGTTGTATCACAGTTATGTAGCATTTTAAAACGCTGCGAGCACTACTGAATACTAGGACTTATTACTCATTTCTTGCGTATGGAATGGAACATAGGGTATCAGCAACACATTTCCACTGTAATTTGTTCTCAGATATCTTTTTTTACTTGGTTCTACGATTACTCGAAAGCCTTCATTACCTATTAACATGGTAGCCTTCATGTGACTCTCGGACGCCGAACCTTCTCCACCTCTTTAAACCCACAATCAAGGGCCTAGTGTGTGAATTGAAAGTCTTTATAGCACATATCGAATTCATTGTGTATATATGTTGAACGATAGGCTGTTGGCTAGTTTGCTACTGATTTCCAGAGTTCCTTGTTGCTTAACGCACCTGACCGAGCATTCAACCTACAGTATCGGCAGAAGGCATCTGTTGATGAAAGTCTGCAGCCTGTTCGAATGACTTTAGTAAGGCACGCGCCAAGTCCCTGAAACGTACTGAAGCCCTGAGTTGACACTAGTGTTAAAAGCAGGATATTGTTTCTTGTTCTGAATACTATAGATCCAAAAACTGACCTCAGAATAATAAATGTCTGTCTTGCCTCCCCAATTCAACTTTGATTGGCATTGATATCCTTCCCTATGTCGCCTGTAGTGGAAACAATGATTCATAGGTAATTGAAAGACACAACCTCCTTGAGACTTTCCTCACAGATAGTAATTGATAATTGAGGTTCCTACACTATTTTTCACTGTTTTCGTTTGTATTGAACTCTCTTCGAAGAACAATCTGGTTATTTGATGTAGTGTTGTGAAGTTTTTTTTAACCTACAGTCTCCTCTCATTTAGTTTCCAGTGTGTCCCAAAAGCGTTTCTTGTCATTCGCAGCACTCTCCTTCCTTCTTTTGTTCTTCATCTGTGTTTCGGCTAGTCTTCTGCTCTAGCATTCGCCTCTTCTCTATCAATTTGCAGGTAATCATAGCAAGACATCCCATGCCCTGCCCTTTATTCCTTAGACTCCAGTGGAAAGAAGAACTGGGTAATCTTAGAAAAACCCTGGTGGAAAACGGTTTCCCACCCAGATTCATAGACAAGAATCTCAAATGTAAGAAGACTTCCGAACAAGTCCAATCCGTTCCAAAGAAAATACTTCTGCTTAATCTAGAATTCAAAGGTGATATTGAAGCAGAAATCCTTCGCAAACGCCTCTCCAAATCGCTAAGGAAAACATACTTCGCCGCGAGCCTACGACTGACGTTTTTCTGCAAGAAACTGTTCAGCCAGAACGCGAAAGACAAGCTGTCACATTGGGCCACCTCAACGTGCATATACCAGTTTACTTGCTCTTGCGGAGCTGAGTACGTTGGACGTACCATGCGCCGACTTGGATAACGCGCTCGTGAACACTACCCAGCCTGGTTAGTAAAAGGAGACCAAAAGCGTGTATACAGTTCAGTGACAGAACATCTGGTCAATTCAGGACACTCAGCACCTTTCGAAAAATCCTTCAAAATAATTTACAAGATTCAATCAAACCTATCAAAGGGAGTGAAATCAAGACATCTGGGCATAGCCGAAGCGCTAGCTATACAAAAGCTGAAACCCACCCTTTGTATCCAAAAGAAATACGTCCAACCCCTGTCCCTGCCATGGCCATCATAAACAGGTAATTTTTTAGTAATGACCATCCCATCGCCTTTCTTACCTAAACTTCCTGTTTATTCTTGTTATTTTAAGTTTTTCTTAATCCCTGTTTACACTACCATATTTTCATACCCGAACTTCATGTTTATTTTGTGATTTTACTATTTCTACACATTTAATCCCTGATTGCATAAACAATTATTCATCACATTAGTTTTGATCCAAACATCCTGTCTATTTTGTTATTTCTACATTTCTAACCCCTAATTGCACAATGTCAGTCTTCTTAGCTATGATGTTGCTAATTTGTTTGTTGTGTCCATCCCCCCTGTTTATTATGGCATTCTAATCCCTAATTTTAATTAATTTGACCCTTGACCGGATATTATTCTGGAACTTTCCTATCCATTTGATATAAATACACGAATGTACAGCCTAGATGATGACTTCGTCGAAAAGAAAATTTTTTTCACTGCAATTGTCTTCTTAATAGACTTCAGTTTCTTCAGTGGTGTTGCTTAGTGTCACTGAATTTTCTGATAAGATAAGATAAAGATGTCCCTTCTAACTTAATTGACTAATAATTATTTTTCAAGATTGGATTTGTAAGGATTAGATTTGTTTTTCGAGTTTGACCACAGATTGATATCAGTTAGACAACCAATGAAAACCAGGGAGTAGTAGTGGACAGCTGTTTCATCCTAGTTTGGAAATCATAGGCAATACGCCACCACTGGAGTTCGAACCCAGGACCTCCTGGTTACAAGGTAATCTTGTATACCATTCAGCCACTGGGACACGATTCAATGGGCCTATGAATAATTATTTGTTTTTATCTACATAAATCTCGAATAAATGTGTATTAGTGTTATGTAACAGAATGACGTTTACCAATAATTGTGATATGAAACTACGTAAATAGATAACCAAAGAAGATGATGTTACCTTTCTTCCCTCATCAAATCCACACCAGGTGGTATAGGACCTTCAAGAGTTTGACGAATAACTTGTGCAAAATTCCTGATTATTAAACGGACTATTTGACAGGTTGTTTCAACATGACTGAAAAGTAAAATAATACATATGAATACAAGATATAAATGCACTTGAACTGTTCGTTCCGTATAAAAAATATTAATTATATCAGAAAACAGAAACATTGAAAAATGATGAATACATTTATCTAAAAACTCTATATAAACGCTCATCTACATTGGTCCTAAAAGAAATCGAAGCTATCAAAATGTAGTGAAAAACTTAAGTGTTAATGATCTGAATGTGGTGTCAAGAATAAACGTCAGCTTACATTACTTACAACAAGTTAAACCCATTATCCATTGTCATTAGTTAGTGGAGAGATCCATTTATAAGAATATCGCGTCACTTTCACAAGTCATGGTGTATATGGACTCCAAAATCCAACAGATCGAATGGCATATGAACGTGTATTGGTTACCGGCAAACATCTGAAAACAGCTCCTGACGCTGCTCCACTACCTTATGGATGAGACTTTAGGCGAACAGCTCGAGAGTGGTCCCTTAAGACAACCACCTAATTCAGTGTGGGCACCAGGAAAATATCCTGGCCATCGCACTAAAAATGAAACAACAAATCATGAAGAAATTCAATTACACACTCTTTCTCACGCTCACGAAAAATAGCGATGAACTTGAATGCAAAAGTCGGCCGTCTAGGCTCAGAGTATATTCGTCTAGCCGATCAGTGAGGATAGCATCGTCGCAGGTCAGATAATGAAGAACATCTCCTACAGTTTTGTGCAAATCGCAACTTGTGTCTAACTAGCACCAAGTTCCGAAACAGTAGTAGCCAGAGCGCTATCTGGCGAGTATGAAATCATGCGTAGGGCGCTTATGCGCAGGGTGGAAAAGTGTTTACATGACAAACCGACAAGTCTGGTGGTTAGATAGTGCGTGTGAGATGGAATCAGCAGATGCATTCGGCTACAACCGTGAGCTGTTGCAGCTCATTTGAGCCACAGGCAGAAAGAAGCACGGTGTCAGCGAGACAGTCTGTGAGGCAGATCGGACACTAATCACCAGCCTAGAAAACGCCTGGAACGCCAAGCAGAGCACTTTGAGAAGATGATAAGCTGGCCACCATCTCCAGCACGCACCGGCACCAGCTACAGTGCTCCCTACTTGGTCAATACTGACCCACTAATCGAAGCAGGGGCTCGAAAGGAACTCCAAGTGTTCAAGTGCCACAAGGCACCTGACCAAGACAACCTATTTCCAGCTTTTCTTAAAGATAGTGGCGAAGTTCTCGTTATGGCTTTAACTGGATTGTTCAGGAAAGTGAGGATGTTCTGTCAATGTGGAATAAAGCCATCCCCATCTTGCAAAAGGGTCAACATAACTCATGCGACAACCATAGGGGTATCAGTTTGCTACCAGTTACCTCTAGAACATTGCTTAGTGTCTTGTCATGTGGGCTGCACAAAACACGCGGGGAGTTGACTCGCAAAGAGTAGGCTGGGTTTTGTCCATGTCGTGGATGCATTGATCATGTGTTTACCGTTCATCAGTTGTTGCAACACCGCCACACGTATTACAGGTCAACAATCATTGTGTTTCTTGATATTAAGGCTGCCTTCGATTCGTTGGTCAGAACTGTGCTCTAGAACTGCCTGTTAGAGAGTGGTGTATCTGCCTGAAAGCCCTAAACGGACATACCTCAGGCAGAGTGAGGGAATACGACCAGCCATCATGACTGTTCCCAACCAACAGTGAGGTTAGACAGTGTTTCCCGATCTCTCCGTTTCTCTTCAACTTTGCTATCGACAACACTCTGGAGTCAGCTCTGAAGGACGTGAGTGGTGTAGATCTGCTTCTCGGAGGAAGACTTTTCGACCTCAAGAAATCAGAAGATATTGTCTTACTGTGCGATACCACACAGACTAACTAAATTGCACTTAATCAGTTTGCAGTCAACATCTGTAAATATGATATGTGCTTTGAGTCGTCTAAATGCAAAGCACTGTGTAAAGATTGACAGGAGTCTGTACCTGCACCAACCATTGCAGGTGAACCGATTGAAGTTTCCGATAAGTTCGTGTATCTACTTAGTTGTGTGTGCTGGTAGAGGGGTGATGGATGAAATTTCTAACTGCATCATGAAAGCTAGGGTGGCATACGGCAGTATGAGCCACCACCTCTGGTGCCATTAGCCTGGATGTCACAGTTCGGGTTTACAATGATTCAGTATGCACAATTTTACTCTATGCCTGTGAAACCTGGCCTCTCAGACCTGAGGATGTGCAACGACTGTGTATTCAACCATCACTGTCTCCGTAGAATTGCTTGCATTTGATGGCATCATCGTGTGTGCAATTCTGAGGTCCGGCCGTGTATGTCTGAACACCGTGAAGATCATAAGAAACATTGAGTGTCGTTATTTGAAAACACAGGCTTTGATCGCTAGGACATGTGCTACGAATGTCATCCCAAAGGTTTCCGTACCAGTTCTGTTCGCTAGCCCTGGGATGGGATGGAAAAAGCAGAAAGGTGGTCAGCCCACAACTTGGCATCGCAGGATTAAGAATATTTGTGCTAGGTTGACATCGGTTAGCGCGTCACGACCCTCTGGTTAGGGTCCGAGAGATAGCTCGAATTGGTAGCTTGGAACGTTAACGAATACGGCCAAGAATCGCAATCATTGGCAAACGTGCTGCAATTTTCTTCTTTCTTCACTTCCTAACAGTAATTGAAGAATGTTTTTTGGCCTTGTTAAATATAGCTGCTTACTTTTCGGAAGAATTCCTTATTCATTTTCTACCTACTTCCTCATATATTGATATTTTATTATTATTGTGTGGCACATCTTCTTGGTGCCTATATTGTACCAGCTTCTGTATTTGAAATAAATAATAGACAAGTCACTTCTATGCGTTTGTAATTAAAGTTGAGGATAAGACTTTTTCATCAATTTCCTGTTAGTTTTGTAGACTACAATTGCCAACCAAATTCTAAAGTGCTGTGGTACAATATTGTTCAACCTAAAAGTTATACTCCAAACTATGGATTACTCCGATGAACATATAATGAAACACATAAAAATATCCCTAGAGAAATCCAGGGAGTAGTGGGTAAGATATTACATGAATACATCGCTATGAAAGTCTTCAAACGAGAGTAATTTTTTGTAACTTGGATCCACAAAGCTCATCTGACTATTGATGAATTATGTATTACTAGGATAATTGGTTTCCTTTAAGTAATAGGTGCATAGAACATAAGTTAGTACAAATTTAGCTTACAGAACGTCTTAAAAAGAGACGTATATTTACCAATGTTTCAGTAACATAATGGGATACACACTAGGTTTACTTTTAAGAGAGTCTCTTTGTCCTATGAGAAGCAAAATAAGAGAAAGAGAAATAATGAGCAGATACTGGCACTCGACCAACAGTAAGGGGTATCCATAAAGGTTAAAAATTATGCCAGAACTACTTTCTCTATACAGCATGTAATCTATACACCCAGAGAGACCAAAATACCGAGAAGTGTTTTCTGATTGGAATGGTTAGGGTAAGCGTACTAAATGAGTGAAGAAAACAGTTAGGTGATATATAAAAATAATCGAGAGAACATATGATATTAAGCAGTGAACTTCATAAATAAGCTATTTGTGTTTTAAAAACTAAATCATGCTAAAGCAAGAACAATACTGTAAGGAATCACTTGATTGGATTGCAGATATTATGAGCAAGATAATGAATGCATATATACATTAGCTACTTTATACACTTATCGAAAGCAACTTACGTTGTGTATTTACTGTGAATCAATCCGACTAACTGAGGTAAGAGAAAACTGACTAAATCTAAAGTCCAATATTTGCTGGGAAGAAATTTAAAAAGAAAAAAATAAACAAATAAGACAATAAAATACCTACTAATGTCAACTCTGAACATCCTAGACTTAATCGAAATTTAACCCATTTAGAAATAAAAAGAATAATATTAATCATACGAGAAAAAACAGCTGGCTAACATCACACATTTCGATATTCAGGGTAGGATAAATTCCGCTCTGAAATAGTAACCTAGGTTTAATACAGCCACCAACTGCAAAAATCGGCTCCCCGCGTCTATTTTCTTCCTTTAAAATCACTGAATGGAGTTCTCCTTGATTCGTTTTTTTAGAATAAATAGTTCATGGAAAAATTCAATGGAGAATTATAAGGAACCAATACAAGAAATACAAACGGTTCTGTTTAAATTAACTAAATTAATTAACATGCTACAGTAAAACAGCAATAAAATAAGCTTTATACTTCGCGATCTTCTTTTTGCCTGTGAGAAAACATTGAGGGTGATGACCGCTTTCATCTAGGAAGATTAAGTAACAAAAATACTGAAACAAATATCTGAGATTTGAGCTTAAGTACTAACCACTGTAACATGTAGAGTGAATACCTTTTTGTGTTCTTTTCATTCAGACTCATCGTGTTACGGTCTCTCGATTAATTCGGTGATTAGGACTTAAATATGCATGTGTATGTCTTGCTTCCCCTAGTATTTTCCAGTTATGCACTGTTGAAAGCGAAAGTCACTTGCGTTACAGTTACACAATACCAGTACTACCGAAGAATAATCTTAACTATTAGCAAACAGCAAAACTTAAAATAAATTAAACAAAATTAAAACTATTAATGAATATCATAATAGATGAAAACAAAAGAAGAGTTTCAGTGTTTCAGCGGCTCTCCTAGCACTCCTAGACTTAGGCCGTAGCAAATTCGGTAAAGAGGAAGAGTTAAGCATGAGTTTAGCACCCACATCCCATGGAAGAAACATCCCCACTAACGAAAATCCCAAATGCAAGCTTGAAGCCCATCAGGAATGCAAAAGGAAGGGAAAAATATATACTGACCTGTTTTTAGCTAATATACCCAATACATCGACTAAAATAGCGGAGTCATTCATCATTATAGCAGATTCAACGGCTGTCTTCACATTTCCTGGACTCCACATTACACGAACAGTGGACAAACCCTTGACACGTGATGACATAACTTTCATAAAAGGATCATGAGGTTTTCGAATTCTTAATAACAGTTCTGCTTCTGATAGTTCATGAAGGTTACTACTTTTGTCAGATGTTGGAGCTTTTGTATTTTGAATAGCTGGATTTAATGCAAAGTCCATCATCATTGGAGGTGATTGCTGAAAATTGTACGATATACATCAAATAATTAATAATGACGACACGAATACGGTACAAAACAAACAGTTTACATAGAAACGTTAACTAAAACAAAGGTTGGATTGCATGATGAAAAAATGGCTATACGCATAACTGTTAATCGACATTAGTAAGATGATTCCTAATACAATTATGAAGAGTTAACACTACGAAAGCCTAAATAATATGAGATATGAAGATAATTACATGTCGATTTTATAGTGTTCGACTAAACTTGTGTATTCATGATGCAACACTGACTCGTGGTCTACATTGTACTGCGAACCAAAGGCTTGACACTACTAATATAACAGTCGGGAATATTTTACACTCTCTTCTTTTCTAAATTAAAAGTGACTGAAAACCCAGACACATGTCACAAATATTGAAAATACTAAAACACACCCTTCTACTAACGTTATTCTTAATTTATTTGTTTCCTTAACCTTACATCTTCATTATGCCAATTGTGTTCCATAGCGTTGCTTAACGCAATTTCAAGGTATTAACACCAAATCCAACCAGCGACACTACCTGAGACGAATCATCCTGCAGATCCGATCATACCAAAAAGATTACTTGGATAGTGATTAAACTATGCTGTGGCAATATCTGGCTGCAAAGAGTAAGTATATCGCATTGTTCAAGGCAATCCACTCTAGCTCGTGCAGCGTTTTAAGATTTTATGGAGAATTGCCGTACCAAGTGATAACAATCAGTGGCGCCCAACATCTTTACTTTTTTAATTCACTCACAGATGTGATGTTGATCAACTTCAAAACTTAGGGATTGACCTGTTACCAGGGGATAGTCTCGTTCACTTAGGGTATCAATATATGGTCCTAGATGAAGACAGCGACGACATATAGTCTTCTAATCACCTTGAGCAGAAATGTTGGTATGCTTGGCATGCGGTTCGCACCAGTCGAATGTGAAATGAAGATGCACTAGTCTGCCCCCACTCGCAGTTTAAAGATATGATGTCAAATGGTTGGGTGTATTAACCGCTTCACTTATTCAAGAAGTTGCATCATGCCCAATAGACTGATTACTGACGAAATCCTAACACAGATATAGAAGGCTTCAGTGGTATTCGCCAACTTACGTTACCTCTGGTGTAGACGGGATATCTTGGTACTGCTCAAAAACCATGTGTACTGCATTGCAATTCGCTTTGAGGTGCGACAGTTGGATGTCAAAGATTTGAAAAGGTTAGCTGACTAGGACAAGAGGTATCTGCGTTCTACCACATGGGTTTAGCAGTAAAATACGATGATTAATACAAGGGTTAGGTAAGGAGGGAAAGTCAAACGAAGGAATTGTGTGATGGAGATAGCTAGGATAAGTGTAACGTGTACCACACAATTACATATTCTGTCAGCTAATGTCAACCGACATAAGATTAGGTGGAGAGAGAGAGAGAGAGAGAGTTAGAGGCGGTCACATCAGAACCATGACGTCTTTGACTATTGGTTTAGCCACGTGCCGAGATGTTGAGTGGGGTCCTCAAGATACTACGAATGAACGGAGGCTGTTGACGACATGGCTTAAAACTGTTCTCAGTTGCACAGATGTATTCACTCTTTATGGAATCCAAAATCTATTACATTTCCACTATTCTCTGTGTCGTTATTCTTTACCTCATACACTTTCGTTCATTAAAGTTCTTTTGGGTTCTTCTTTTCCTCTTTTTTTATGAGTGCTTTATGAAGTGTTGCAGCATGAATTTCTGTCTTTTTGTTGGAGTTCCTATGTTTAAAAATGATTTCAGTTCACTCTAAGTATTTTACGAAAACCAATAACGTCATAGATACACTAAGTAGTAAAAATTCGACCGCTAAGAGGTAAAATGAAGTTTGAATCGGTCTAAATTTAGTAGAATAAGCACCTCAAGTTTTGAAAACTTACAGGTAAAAATTCTTCCACATCAACTACTTGAGATTGTTGTGTAGGCTTTGGAGTTTTACGACCTTAAACACAAAAGATGAATTCAATAAGTAAGAAACCAAAGTTGAAAAATATTTCATTTTAAGGTGACGACACTATCAACAAATTACAGTAGACAAAAAGCAAATGGAAATACACTTCACATGAGGCATATAACAGACAACGTGTTTACACTAAGTCGACTAAGAAACAATAGTGCAGTAAAGAGACTATAACTGAGGTGAACTAAAGATTATATGAAATGTTAGATTTGAACAGTCTCAGTACTGACCAGCACTTTTCAGGTTTAATCCTTGATTCAAAGTAGAAAAAAATTATTCAACACTGGCATTTAACAACTGTGCAAATCATATTTTTAAATGTGAGATTTATTCGAAACAATAATTTTTACACTTTGATATTCACTCTGTGGGAACATGAAACACTGATGAATCAGTTGTGAATTGTAAGACCTTACTTAGGTGATGATGAAAAAATTAGAACTTTTACGTTACAGACGAAAATGCAAAATTTTAAAAATTCATTCATAAACATACGAGGAAAATGGACAGACACACGGATAAAATATGGAAAAGGTGTAATGATTTCAAGTGTTATAAACTTCACAAAAGAACTAGACGCAAAAATCAACTAAGCGAAAACTACTAAAAAAGCAAAACCAAAGGATGTGATAACAGATTAAGAAATTTCGAATTGAGCAGTCACCCAATAACATTTTAAAGAAAATCAGTGTGTGCTTGTACCTAGGAAATCGTCTTATGTTCATTAATTCAGTTACAAAAAAACCATGAATTTAAAAGTAATCACACTTCATATATGTTCATGAGTAGTCTTTCTAAATCAGTCAGTAAGATACCATTGGCCTCAAAACTCCAAATAACCTTAAACAGGTGGAAGCTGACTTTCATGTAAAAGATATATTTCTTCGCCTGTGTTTATTCATCAGCCAAAAGTTCATGTGGATCAGGGCAAATCGTAATCACAGAATATTTTCAACGGAAATCCGAGAACATATTCAATCAGTTTCATAAGACAGAAGGGAAGGGTGTAAAAAATTCAACAAAAAAAAACACTGCAATGACTTCTGTCACTCAACTAATCTGGACCTGCTGCGCTTCCTTCCTCCCGAATTTCTGAAAACAGAGAAAATTTTGGCTATTCATGAACTTAAGCCATACGCTTGTGTACAGAAGCAATATATACAGTCATTTTTCTTCCACTGCACTCGGATTAATAAAGTGGGATAAAAACATTTGTTTCGCACTTGCTTTGTCTAATTTATCCACGTAACCTTCCCCTAGAACCACTATTACATATATATATATATATATATATATATATATATATATATAATTTTCACTTTGAGGAGAGAGGGGACAACCACTCTAATAATTCAACTCAGTAATTTTCACGCCTCTATCTTTTTCAACTTCTCACTTTGTTGATTGACAGAGTTCCTTGTTCTCAGTCATTTCTGAACAGCTATCTGATCTGCAGTATGAAACCAGAGAAGGCAGTTGACGATAGAAGTACACATTAGTCGTCTCCAAATGCTTTCGGTGACACCAGCGTCAACCCACCGAACCATGTGAAAGCAATCATTTCACATGAGTGTTGGAGATCAAGAATCTCGTTCCATGTAGCAAATCTCCACATTGAAGTCGGAATAATGAAGGTCTGTCTACTTTTTCCGATCCCGGATTCCACATATTCACATCTTTGTAGCAGCCTGCTTGCAGTAGAGACAATGCTGCATACTAAGTACTAGTCAAGCAGGTGACTTCCTTTACATTTCTCCTGTTGATAATGACTGCTGACAGTTGTTATTAGTTAGGTATCTTCATCGCCTCTATCATCTAAGTACTCACTCATTCTTCTGTTTTCGCCTGATTACCTACGAGTTTGTGTGGCTTTAGACATAAATCGTCCATAAAGCATAAATCTACAAGAGTTTTCTTGTCAGTTGTTTACTAAGATCTCTTGATCCATCTTAAGAGTTTTCGGAGGAATCCGATGTGGTCCCGCTACCCTCACGGATTGCTTTCAGTAACTTTATCGCATTCGAGACTGCAGCTTTCATCGTGGGATTGGTGTACGATAGTATTTCTATGACCGTCAGTCATACTTCGTGATGAGATGCAGCTGCAAATGTCCATTGTTTACTTTACTTCTCCTTTCGCTGTCCTTATTGCACTGGCCCACCTTCTCTTTCACCATCCATTTCTCCTCTATCAGCCTCCTCGTTTCTGTAGAGACTCCTCGCTTGTTTTGTCTCATGGCATGACTGACGATACAGGTATCTACAACATTTCCAAAGTTACAGTGTCCCTACTCCTGCATAGATTCTTCGATGTTGCTAAGTAACGTCTCCGACTTCACACAGGTGGCTGCAGTAGAGGTGACTTTTGTAGATTCGTCCTTCAGTTCCTGATCGTAAAACTCGAATTGTCGCCAATATCCAGATTCTCTGTAGGCTTCCAACTTAACCTTGAGGGTTCGTTGTACTAGATAATGGTCTCAACCAACCGTTGTTTTGCTCCTCGAGTTTTTGTCTAGCAGGCGACACCTCCACTTTCTTGACATTGGTACCAAGTCTGTCTGATTTTTGGTGTGTCCATCTGGTTAGACCCATGTCGCTTTGTGCACATTCCTGTACACTTTGACTCTAATCACCAAATCATTGAGGACACAGAACTCCCAGAAGAGTTCGCCATTTTCATTCACTTCACCGAGAGACCCCCTACCCACGTTAAATTCCTTTCCTGTGTTGCTGGCTCAAAGTTTGTCAGGAATTCAAATCACCCATTAAGATTTTGAAGTTGTCGTTCCGTTGGGTTCTTGTCCATTACAGTTTGTAGTTGTGTTTTGAATTTTTTATGCATCTCTTGATCCGTGCTGTTCACGGAAGCTTAGTTTACAAGTTCCTTAGCCTATCCTAAGCCAGAAAAAGAGAGGAAGGCTGGGTGTAGGATCTGAGATTCTATTCGGGGAAATCAATCCAACCGATAGCGAAACTTCGAAGTTAGTAAATACTTGTTTAATTTTAATAAGCATGCTTCTTGAAAAGATCTCTAACAGGAAACATACGCGATTCTTTACAACCCAAGCTAATATTGAATATATTTTAAAAAAATGATGTCGTGAGACAGAAAATTTTAACTTAATATGTTTTAGTCTATTTAGAATTAACTTTCGACGGATCGAAATTTCCTGTCAAACATCTGACTACAATAGACGTATTTTACAACCATAGAGCAGGAAATTAGATTAGACGTAAACAGCTAAGGAAGTTAAATCAATTTCCGAAAGTGTGATTCCTTGTTGATGGAGTAGAATGTCATGTGAGTTATGCATACCACTGTATTGTCTTCAACTAGCGATGTAAGCTGAAATAAGAATAAGTTAAGAAAACAGTTTCAAGAAGTAAGATCAAAACATGGGATCAATTCATACAGTAATTAGTCTTAGTCTGAAAGGTGTACGTAGGGTGCGGGTTGTCTAGTTGGGGACAATGGTTACGAAATATTTAGTGACATGACACAAAATTAATCGCAGTGGTGCAGTTCTTTCTGTTCCTGATCACCCAGGAGTTCCAAAACATAATCAGTCTTCATCTAATAAAATAGTCTTTTGTGTCGGAATCACATTCTTCTATTGAAAAATAATTCTTCAAGTTTTTCATCTTTGAGTCAATAGAGCAAGAGGTGATATTATCTGTTACACAGGTTTGGTAGGGTAGTAGAATGAAAATTATATCTTAATAAAAGTTAGGACAACATGGTTAAACAACTGTCAAGTGTGGAATCTGCTACAAACTACAACAAAATAAAACATACCTGCCAAAGAAACATAACTTTGATTTGGCTTTTTAGAAGCAGAAGTTGAAGTGGTATTTGGGGGAGTAAATGGCCTGTCCGACGTATATCCGTCTGATATGATATTTGACTGGAGACATTTGGTTTCAGAAGCTTTGGAATTTACACTGCTTAAAGATGTAGGAAGAGGGTTAATACTTGGTTTCAACGTTGAACCAGATTCACTTTCAGTTGGCGCATGTCCCCTAGATGTCGCCCTAGTTTGAGACGGAGTACGTGGAACAGAATGGTGTGGTTTGAATATTCTATCATACTCATCTGGATCGGTTATATCAGCTGTATTCAGTGAATCACTATCTTCGTTAGTTGGTTGGTAGGGTAGAGCAGCATCTGGATCGTTGGGATCTTCCTAAATAATGAAACGCCACAGAACACTGATATGACTATAGGCACACTATAGACGATTGATTCAATCGGAAAAAATCATACAAGTAAATCAACAGTCTGATGTACTCCTAAATCTCACGTAATTAACGAAAGCAGGCTGAAGTGTAAACACTAATATATATGGATTTAAATCTGAAATTATTCTCATAATCCTAAATTTTATTCGTACAAACAGAAAAAATCTATAAATGATTCGAAAATCACCGCTACTAATCAAGTGATATTATTCAATTTTGGAGTAACACACTAAAGTTAGAAATTCCCCAGGGATTACATGTAAGTGAAATAAGACGAAAGAAAGATTCCCAGAGAGAATTAACAAGGGGTTATATCTGTTGCATAAGATTTGATTGTGCTAGATAGCTGACTATAGGTCGGTTTTTTGAGATTCTCTGACATAACTACTGAATAAATTTCAGTAGAAACAAGATTTAAAGAAAGCCCTGTTAAAATAAAAGAAAAAAACTTACACTCATAACACTTTGAAGATTCTCTTGAGCGACAAGACAAAAACTCTTACGACTCTGAATTTTTGAATTTGGTGAACCACAACGTGTGAATGGACGTTGATTGTACTGTTGAGACTATAATAAATTAAAAAGGAGTATTATCACAAACTAATTCAAGTACCAATTAATTTATACATATATTATACATGATTCATATGTGGAAAAATATAAAAGTGACTTTTATTATATTGAATTTCATTAACTGCTGATAACCGTTTGAGATCTCAACATGTTTTGATTAATCCGTTGGACATAAAAATAATATATATATATATATATATGTTCTATTATGCATAGAGAAACTTTTTCTATTCTGATGCCTTCAATACTTTCTGTTCGATTATGTTGAAACACTTATGTTCGTTTAATCTGATTATCTTTTGTATACCCTACACATTATAAGCATGTATTCGAAGATTCATTCATACTACTCAATAACTTCACGAAGTAGGAAGCATATATATATATATATATATATATATATATATATATATATATATATATATATATATAGTAAAGAGTATTCAATGGTAAAGTTTAATGGGTTTATAGTACTGAAGATTATCTTTCTGTGAAGTGAAGTTGAAAAAAAACTTTCTGTCATCTTAAAAGCGCAAAGAAACTTTGTCAGTATACTATGAAGGGTAGTGACAGACACGAGCTATATCGATTTCTTGAAAAACACCCAATTACAAAAAATCATCATGCAAATTCAAAATTTAATGAAGTATGCACGATTAAGGGACGAGATTAATTTGTTTTGCATTCTCACTGAGAAAGATTGCTTGAATATTCTTGAATACTTCTGAAATGATAAACAAACCGTTTGTCTGTCTGTTTTCGACATAGAACTTAGCACATATGTGCGTGAGTTCAAGTCACCACACTCCCTCCTTGTAGCACACAAAGCAAGAGAAAAAAGTAGAAGAAATGCATGGTAGAGACAGTAAACAGAGGGCTGAGACAAAGGAATAGTAGTAACGAAGAACAAAACAGTTTCATTGGAAATCATAAGTCACAAGGAGTGGATGCATCTGTGCCATTGAGAATGATTTTGGGTCATGTCACCAATTGTTTCCAGCCATTGGTGTTTACCGTCCCGAGGACCCCAACCAGGAAGTCTACATCTTCCTACGTGGCTGCCTTAAACTAAGTGTTGTGAATTTCATTGAGTAATGAAGCCATGTTTTGGTTTGACCACCACTAGCTCTTTTCCAGCCTGACCCCATATCAGCTAACATTGCCCATCGAGGAAGGTGATGGCTAGGCATACGTTACACATGTCCTAACCATCTCAGTTTATGTAACTTCATAACCTCATCGATTGATTTCCCCTCCTTACCTAGCACTTGACTGAAGTCTAGCCTCAATATTGCTCACTTTATTGTAGCACTTCACACGGGAAATAGAACGCAGGTACCTATGATCGAAGACAGCTAATCTTTTCATGTCTTCCACTCTCAATGGCCAGGTTTCACAGCCATAAAGGAGGACGGAGCGGACTGATGAGCAGTACACCCGCCCTTTGATCGATAGTCGAATATCACGTCTACGCCAGAGACGGCGTAAATTGCGCATGTGCGAAACTAGCCCTCTGTATCCATGCTGAGATTCCGTCAGAGATCAACCCGTTGGGGCTAATGCAACTTCCCAAATAAGTGAAGCGGTCAACGTGTTCTACCACTTAACTCCCTATTTCTTATCTAAGAGTCAATGTAGTCCAGTCCTGCAGCATCATCTTGCATTTGGGCGAATCGCATGCCAAACATTCGTAGATTGCTGCTCAAGGTGTTTAGAAGACTCTGCATTTTGTCAGCGTCCTCGCCTAGAAGGACTATATCGTCTGCATATTCCAAGTCAACGAGATTAGACCCTGGTAGCAAGTCAATCCCTGAGTCGCTGAAGTCACTTAGGGTTAAGTCCATTAGTACATCTATGATGAAGTTGAATAGAAAAGGAGATAATGGGCATCCTTGACGGACACCACTGGTCGTCATCAGTTCAGATGACAGCTCGCCGTAAGCCCTCACCTGGCTGTATGAGTACGAGTAGAGTGCCTTAATCAGTGCAATATATTTTCTCGGAATTCCCTTTACAGCCAAGCATCTCCAGAGAACTTCTCGATCGACAGAGTCGAATGCTGCCTTTAGGTCAAGAAATATAATGACTGTTGGACGCCGGTAGGAATGCCTATGTTCTAGAATCTGTCGGAGGGTGAAGATATGATCAATACACCCTCTTCCTGGTCTAAAGCCTGCCTGGCTCTCTCGTGTTTGTGCCTCCCGAGCACCACTTAGTCTACGCATGATTATTGAGCCTAAGACTTTAGATATTAGTCAAGCTAATCCCTCTGTGATTATCACAGGAAGACTTGTCTCCCTTCTTGTATATGGGGATAATCAGTGACTTACACCAACCCGATGGGACTTCTTCTGATTCCCAGACGCTGCCTAGTACCTCAGTTAATGCAGACAGTAAGCTGTCTCCACCGTACTTAAATACCTCTGGAGTCATTCCATCAGGTCCCGCTGCTTTGCCTAGTTTCAGATTGGTGATAGCTTTAGTAACCTCAGTTAGGGACGGAGGACCTGTGTTTATATCCCATTCAGGGAGGTGTTGTATGTTCGGCAGGTTGAGCGTGGCTGTGGGCCAATTAAACTACTCCTCATAGTTCTCTTTCTAGCGTTCCAGTCGTCTATCCTGGGAGCTAATTATGGTGCCATTTTTCTCCGAGATTGTTTCACTTATCATTCGCTCTTTTGCCACCAGTTTCCCTGATAAGCCTAAATAGTTGTCTGACGTTGCCAATCGCCGATGCCTTTTCCATCTCTTTCGCTTTTGTCGCCCACCACTGTTCACGGTCGTTGCGAAGACTTTTTGTTAGTTTTCGTTTGAGTACCTTTCGCTCCTCGTCATAAACACAGTTCGCTGGAATCAGTCTTCTGGCGTCAATCAGTTCGGATGAGGCGATGGAGATCCAATAGCTCTTACTAAGCTTTTAGCTTAATAACAGCTTCCACAGTTGTGTCTACAGCTAACTGTATATTGTGCCAGGCTACCTCAAGGGAAGTCATGCTGCCGACTTCAGAAACTCGTTTCGCTATTTCTTCGTTAAATAGGGACTCAGTGTCTCGATCTAGTTTGGGACGTAACTGTTTCGCTTCCGTCAATTTCTTATGTCCATTTAGCCGTAAGGATAAACGTGCGCGAACCAGAGCGTGATCGGAGTCTACACACGTGTTCCAGAAGGAGCGACAGTCTTCTACTGACCATCGCCAACGATACTCTATGGCTATGTGGTCTATTTGTGTCCAGCGTTGGTTTTATGATGGGGATCGCCAGGTCAAACAGTGTCTATCCTTGTGTTTGAAGTTAGTGCTTACAAGAAACAGATGATTATCTGAACAGGACTGTAGGAGACGGTCACCGTTGTCGGTTCGCTGGTATGGGACTCCATAGGTGCCACCGACATCCTTCACAGATTGACACAAAATCCCTACGTGAGCACTAAAGTCACCAGCTAGAACGACTATATCTGAGCGTTTAGCCTTTTGCACCAAACTAGACAGCTTTTGATAGAACTCATCCTTCGTTTTATCCGAACTGCAGTCAGTAGGGCGTAGGCGGAGATTACGAAAAGGCATCGGCGAGTAGTGCAGTCCTTCCTCCTTCTTACTGACCCGTTCAGACGGACAGCACACATTCGGCTATCTACCGGGATCCAGTCAAGCAATGTCTTTTCTGCCCTAGTACTCAAAGCTATCCCTACACCAGCTAATCCTCGTGAACTAGCTGTGGCATCTCCTGACACCCTCAAGGTGAATTTTGCAGATTCAACCTGTTGGCCAGGTGGGTTTAGGTGAATAACCACACTTGGGTCTTGTATGCGTGTTTCTGAAACACAGCATACATCGATGGCTCGTGATGCCAGGGTCTTGGCTAGTGATGCTTGTTGTCCTATTTGGCAAAGTGTCCTAACATTAAATGCTCCTATATGAAATTGGTGGCGCGGCTTTAAGAGGCTGTCGGTGGTGGTTTTTTGGCTTCCATCGTTTTTAGTGGACGCAGAGTGGAGAGGAAGTGGAGAGCTATCAAGTCGAGGAGTTGCATCAGTGGAAGGAAGGCAAGATGATAGAGATGAAGATGAAGACAAAGATGAGTGAGTAATAGAGAGGTTTTGTGTGCATTTCGGATTGTGAGGGCGATTGTTACTTCCCAGCTGCCCACACCATGGAGGTGATAAACAAACAATTAATTTGAAGTCTCTTGAACTTATCAGAAGCCATATCTATTATAGGATCAAAAACTTGACCTATATATACTCAAAAAGAAGCTGTAGTAAGTCCTTCTCAACCTTGACAACTCATCTTTACACCTTAACTGATTATATCATCTTTTGTTAAATGTGAATGTTGATTTCCTTTCACTCTTACTTGGTTACGTCACCACTTAATAGGCATCAAACGCCATACATCGGATATCTAACGAAACGAGTCTAACTCATAACATTTTATCATATCTGATTCACTGACAGTTTTTTGACGACTTATGTAATCCCATAATTTATGTACCTCGATATCTTATGGCTACCCTTGGCTCCCCACTTTTTGTCTTATTCGAGAAGCCTAAACCACATTACACATACAAGTGCCGCAATACATTAAATTTAATTAACTTAACACTTTATTCGTCTACATAACATGATTACTCTCAATTTCTCTTCCACACTTTATCCCTGATGAACTAAAAGCTGTTAAGATAGTAATAGACCTACGAGATTTCACTATTTAGGTTGTCTGCAGATAACAAGATACAAAATGACGCAAAGAAAAAGGAATTAGTTTTATCTGGCACCATATTTTATTTTTCTTTTGTTCAAATTCATCATTAGTAATTATTTTCAAAAACAAACAAAGGTTTTGAATGCAAAAGGTTTTATTGAACTATCTTAAGAGATAGTTAAACGAAGCACTTTCTGATAGCCAAGGTGAATTAAGCCTTGACTATCGATCGTTATTACTAAGGTAATTAACGTGAGTACACTTATATATATATATATATATATATATATATATATAACACTAGGAAACCTTAATAACACTCAGTTAAAGCAACATAAATCCACAGTATTTGCAAGGTAACGGACATTTCCACAGTGATAAACTTATTAGTTTTTTCAAATTTTTGACTGTTGCGTGCTAATTATGGAAGTATCACAGAAAAAACTGAAAAAAGTGATAAGGAGTCATTTTTTATCATTTGAAGTTAGAAGTCAGAGTGGACCTGTGAATTTATGTTTTGTGTTCGTTAGCACTTACTGAGCCAAGTGTACTTGCAAATTGTGAAAAATTACGTTTTGCTTGATATGCAAAAACACCTTATTTAGCGTTGAAGTTGGAGAATTCATTCATTTAGGTCACTACTGATCTCCAGCAGGAATGAATCAGATATGTGAATATTGACCTCTGGATGGTAGCCAATCAAACTGTTTCACTTTTAAAGGAAATCCGCGATCATCAAGTTACTCTACAGCAGGCTCACGGGTTGCACGTAAGTGCTAATTAGCACGAAACCTGAGTGTAGATAGTTCTGCCAACTGAATCTTAACAACTAAATTCTCTTTAGTTAGTTTAGCTTCTTTTATTCGGTGTATAACATATTTTAGAAACGGCTGAATTTTAGAATCGGATGTAGATATGTCCCATATAAAAAATAACGCAAATGAAGTCTTCATAAGTTTAAATATTACAAAACGGATAAGCTGAACATTTAGAATACTAAAGAATTTGCAGGTAAACAGACTTGTGCCAAATTTTCCACATTCATACTAAAACCTGATATTCTCAATCGGTAGAATGGTTGCACACACACACACACACCTTAAAATCAGTTCATTTTCAAATAGTGTTCGTGTAGTCAACAAAACTGTTATGTGTGTAATGATTTCAAAATCAAAAGCAAGTTGCATTGAGCACTTTATCCCAAACTTAGAGAAACTATAATGGTAATCAAGTGACTAACTTTCATTTAAGTTGAATGCAACAAAAAACAAAACAATAATTACGAAAAAGTAATACATATGGAATAAATTGGTTAGTGGTATTTGGCATACAGTTAGGTTATTCAATTAAACAGTAAATGTATCAGGATACCGAGGCACTTATTCTAATGCATTTTAATGAAATTTTAGTGAAATCATGGATACTGTTTGCTGTGCAACTTATGCACTCAGGAACTCTTAGAAATTACAACTAATAACATCTAAAATCTGATAATAGGAGTATATGATGTTGTAATTAAATGAAAAATATATTTCCAGTAATCAGACAGCAAACTGTATAATATTTGTTGTTACGACGAGATAAAGTCTTGATCATTGAACAGTCACAAACTTAAGTACGATTTCACGGTTTTGAGGTTCAGTGAAAGGAACATGTGACCACCAACCTGATCATAGACAACATCAGTGACAAAGAGAAAAAGCAATATATATTTTTGACCACAGACTAATAGGTGCAAAACTTGTTCTGTTTACAGTAAAAAAAACCGAATACACCTTTCTAAATTTGGTTTCGCTCTATTACAGACTCTGGTGCTGAGTGGATAACCAGTGATAAACCACTTTGTTAGGTGATTCGTATACGCTCATAAAACTAATGAGGTTGGTTAAGTGTTTACACGCATTTGACATATTTGTTGTGATCCACCTACTGAGTATCTTTCATCGGGATAAGTGATGTAATAAATTTCCCAATACAGGCGTACAGTTTATAAACAGAAATAAAACTGATACGAAAGAAAAACAGACACGCATCTTAGTACTCAAACTGGAAGGTGATTAGTAAGGTAGGATAATGCATTTCAGTAAAATACAGTGTAGTAAATTCAGTGATGATGTTAACAAAATAACTCACGTTACTAACAAGATTCTTATTATCACCCATTTGCTGTACAGATTGCATGGACTGGATATGATTGACATTATTGTTACAACAATCATTGACCACTGTATTTACACTGCTACTTGCCAACTGAGAAGTAACTTGCGCACAGCTACTTTTACTGGAATCAATAATATGATCATTAGAATTCGTATTGAATGGTATACATGATTTAATATCAACCACATAGGTAGTGACAACGGAATTCGATAAGCATACACCAACAAGCTGGTTGAAACTTGGTGCCACAGCCATGTCATCTAGACCACCGCCACCACGCCAACCCACATGGACAGTCTCCAGACAAGACATACTTTCATAATCGTATATCTGTATGAACAAGTTGACATAGAAATAACTGTAACATGAATATAAGTTGGTTTATAGAGATGGTAATCAAAATCCAATGCACAAAATGACTATGCAAGGCTAAAACACCACAAAGGAATACAAATATCTGTTATCGTTTACTAGAATCTGAAAATAAGCACTGATCTACTCACAGTTATTCTCCCCATCACACTCATGTTTGACTACTGGAAACATCATAATGTTTCTGCTCGCCTATCTTACATTTGCGCCCTCGAAAGATTTCATCTTAAACTAATGACCTTATATGCAAACTTTTGCCGTCAGTCCCTCAATGAACATTTTTGAATTTAAAAAAAATTTTTATTATGGCTTGATTCCACACAGTATTTTTGGTACAAGTATGGAATTTTCAGAATGTGATATCGGTAAACCAAATTTAGCAGACCGACCATTGATATTACGTGTGCGTCGGCCGGGGATCGAACCCCTGACCATGTGCAATGTCGACGAGTGTCCTAACCGCTATGCCACCGACGCACATATTTGTTACAGAATACACTGTTTAACACGTACAACCACAAGAAGTAAGTCCTAAATTCAATACAAAAATTTATGGTTTCCCAGCAAACTGTTTACAAGTTAAAGTAGATAGTCACCATTGTAAGTAGCACCATTCGCTTCCCAGCAAAAATATTCATCAGATTAACATAAAGTCTGATTCGGTGTCTGGATCCGCGTCATCAGTATGTATGGATGTTTTGCAAAGCTGAAATCAACTGCCGTCAATATTCTTGCAAATTTTTCAGTATGATGAAGATTTCAAAATTATTAAAAAAAACAGTAGTATGTTGGCACGCTGACCACTGATTGTAGGTGTATTTCAGTAACACAAGTCACACTTTTTTGCATAATTTTCTGAAATATCTGCTCTTTCAGTTTAAAGGGATTATCTTCAATGGAACTGCTCAGAGTTCTAACTCAATAACAAGTAAACTGATGGAATCACAGTCATACGAATAAGATAATAGTTTTTTCACATGATATAAAGAAAGGTCCAACCAATCATATTAATCCCACATTTGATATGCACATATGATACAAGAATCGAATACAACACAAGACGATTGACAAATGAGGAGTCAGTCTACTGCTTTACCTGTTTCTTCACTGCAGTTTTACAAATCAGGATAGATAAGAGACTAAGGAAACTAGGAGGTACTACTTTTTCTTACAATACAGCATCATAGTGTAACGGGGAACAGACTGGTTTTATTAAGCTATTGTGTATGTGAGAAAAACATCAATAGAGTCTAACTGGATACCGGACTGACATGAATGTAGGTATATCTTTTGAATATACTGACGCGTATTTTTCTATTTATATTTCATAAAAAAAAATAATTAAATCATTGTAATTTATTTATTTCAATACTTCCCACCCAAAAATTCACATCGGAGCACATAACGCCTTGTGAACAACTGCACGCATATAAATGCGTGTATATGTATAAATATACACACGCACACACATCCACATGCACATAACACACAGCCGATCGATCATATCACAATTGATTAAGCAATACAATCTAAAGGAATGAAAGTAGGTAAAATTTGATAGTAGATATGATCATGAACAAGTACTACAGAATTTGAAGTGTGTTAGTGAAGCATATAAAAATTCATTTACCTTGCGGATAGTGTTAGGTTAGTGACGACTGTAACAGTGTCAGTGTGTATATAGTCATTCGTCATCCACATCCGAATTCATTTTTGGATGTTTGGTAATTCACACTATTTTTTCCATTGCAGATTTAAGTAATGTAAACCCTATGATATTATCTCATCATAGTAAGTAAATTTGAAAGACTTTTTATCGAAATAAGGATAAAAATTGTGTATTATGCATGTATTTGGTTTAGAGCGCAGTCAGACATATACACCTGAGCTGAGTGGTTCCAAAAATGTTAACTATCCTTTAACGTAAAACATCTTTAGAAACAAAGCAGTAAATGAATGCATAAACTGATATATTGTATTTATATAATGAACAACTTACTCTCAGGTGATCATTTGTAGCAACATACAAACACACACCATTTGGATGGAATACAATACGCCGTACAGTTGTAGCATTTAATTCAGGCCCACTGACTGCAACTTGTGTGAAATTCTCCAAGTCATACAAACGAACAGTATGATCAGCTGAAGCGGTTGCTAGAAGCAAGACTGTAGGATGAAAGGCAACTGATACAACAGAACTAGTGTGTCCAACTAATTCAGCCAACTGCCGACCAGCTGATAAATCCCATAGCTATTTTTAAGGGGGAAAATAAGAAATTTTGAAACAGAAAAGTGATTTATATGGGAATAGATTTATTTACAGATCCTAATAAAAGAAAATAACAGTAATCATACATACAGAATTGAAGAAAAGAATGTGAATAAAAAATTACACTTACACAGAAGGAAGTAACTTTCGTCACTTATCTAGACAACATCGTTTCTATTACATGCAGGCGAACAAGATGTATGTCAAATCCAGGATCAGGAAAAGTAGACAGACCTTCATTATTCTGATTTCAATGTGGAGATTTACTGCATCGAAATGGGGGCCATTCAGTGGCAATATGCACCAGGTCATCGAGTGGAACTCAAATCGGAAACGACGGGTTGGGCGTGTGTGTTGAGAGTAGGATGGAGACCGTATGAATGGGCGATGGATGCTTATGGGAACTCGTGGAGCCAGCTAAGGGAAACTGCCGGAGACAGGATAAAATGCAGCTGTTCTGTTAAGGCAATATATCCCACTTGGAATCAGGGGGAACAATTAATAATAAAATGCCTAAGAACGAAAATGCTGTACTTTTTGAACAAGTGAAATATTAGTATCAAAAGTTAAAACAATCCACATTATCCACCCTTAACTGGACACTGATTCTTATAAATAAAGAAACTGGAAGAATATTTGAGTGATAAAATATATCCGACCAGCGATCTCTGGAGATCACAAGTGTTGAAATTTCACAGTCACAGCTGAAGGGTAATTATAAGGAGAAAGAAAAATGACAAAAGGACAATCATGATTAACTAAAATGATGATAGTTTCCAAACGAAGAAAATCGGGACGAGTAGATTAGCTTGACCACTGAATCAATTCTGTGTATAAAAGTGGAGCTGCAAGTGCTACAAAAAAGTTAAACTCACTAAGCTTCCATCAAATGTCTAGTGCAATCAGCTGCTGTAACGGCATGTGTTCAGTCAGCGTAAACAAATAGTGAAATTCAGTACATCTATTTTAGTGTGAAGATACACAGCCACATTGAGTATAATTTGCTTTGTAGTTTATTCACGACGGTTGTTTTTACAAACTTTATGTAATAAATTGAAAAAGATTGTGGGATACAGAAGATTGATTTCATTGATTTTTGTTCTGCTTTAGAAGAAATAAAACTATAATCGAAAAAAAGTTTGATTTGGAACCTTTCCCTTTTTTTAAGGTTAATCTGCATTTCCTATTGGTTGGTTATGTTGGACGGATATGCTCGATCTGTACTGACATGCTGTTTCTCAGTTCGGATGTTTTGATGATATTTGAAGACTAACGCCTGCTAGATAACGTTCTAACGTTTGGAACAATGGACAGGGGGTTCGAGTCTCAGGGAGAACGCCACCATCCATTCGTGTTGCACATATATATATATATATATATATATATATATATATATATATATATATATATATATATATATATATATATATATATATATATATATATTCAGATGACGAGGTTGGAATAAAGTTTTCATGAACCAAAATGACATTTAGAGCGTTTCCATTTCCCTGAGTGATTGCGAGTTCCATGGTTTACCTTTTTTAAGCTTTTATTTATTTGATGACCCAAAAGGGGTTACCATTGAAAAATTGCATCTTATAAGGTGGATGAGACGTATTTCACCGGAGTATTACTCGGAAACTTTTATTAACTCAGATAAAACTGTAGCGTTAAGGGTGATTAACTAATTATTGATATCTCTAAGTATTAGTAGGAATATACGCAGGCTTTTTGTTTGAAACTCAACTCAATAATTGCAGCTTACAGATGACACATTATCAGATAGTTCGCAGTGGTAAAGATACATCCAAGACTAACTTTTGTATTCAAATGCTTTACCTTTTATTGTTTTATCTGATGCCACCTTATAATGTATGGTAAAACAACACTCATCTTTTATCAAGACGTAGTCTGCGTCAGAAAAGCTCTACGTAAACTACTCGATCTGATGAACACCGATTTCCCTAAAAATCATGTAGATTTTAACCCCTGAGAAAGATGAATAAATCCAAATGCAAATGAAGAAAAGTTTTATATGATAAAATAGAGATAAACAGTTTCACTTCTTTCTTTCATAAAGTTTGAGAAAACAGGAACAATCTACAAAACTGAAGTTTACTAATCTGGCTTAATCAAACAAAATATAAACTCTTGATGTTAGGTTTCCAATAACGAAGAAACTACGATCCATAATCAGAAAGAAGACTAAAGGGTACTTATAACAAAAGGTCACAACAGCTTACAATGCTGTGCAACCAACAAATAATCACTACTAGTATCTCAACATTGACTCAAGTTGTTCAAAGTTAAGGCTGCCTAGAGAAGAACGCATAATATCAGCATCCATAGAGACATTATGAAATGTTAAACATGATTTAAAGATAAAGGAACACTCAAAAAAACAGCACACAAAAATAAAAGGACTAAAAAGTTGCTAAAGAGCCAGTTCATACAGCTATGATTAAGCGGTGTGGAAATTCGATAGCCAAACATTATGCAACAGCCTTTGACACTAGTACCAGAAATTTTACAACGCGTGTTCCGTTGTTATACAATAATAGATTATCATTACTATTGAGAGTTAAGATAAAGGTTGTTTTGAAAATGATATCAATATTTGGGAATTTTAGAAAAAGTTAATCCATATAACATCAATTACTAAAGGAAACTGTTAACTTGTATACAATTCAGTAAACTGACTTTACAAACAACGGTTACAATAAGCAGGTTCAGGTACTTCGAAAAAAACAGCTATGTGACCTCATTATTATTAGTTTTATTAGCGCTTTTAGAACAGCAAGTACACGTCAGTCTTACGTTACAACAGGTAGTTGTTACAGATTTATTAGTTTAGAAGTAGAAAAGTAAACTGAACCTGGTAATCTGGACAAATGAACACTAATCAAGGAATAGGAATTCCATATTCCACTTACATTTCAGTAATCTCATTCTTATTAAAGTGTGATTAAATATAGATAAAAAGGACTTTAGGGGGACACATAAACCTCAGAAATATGTACACACATCTCCCCTGAAATAATAACTAAGCATTCATTTAAACTCTGATAAAAAGCTTATCCAGTTTTATAGCTTGTTAAGTAAGAAAGATGGAACACTTGAAAGACAATCAGATAACATGGTAGATTTCACGTAAATTTATATTGTCCAAGCGAGAAAAAGCGAATTAAAAATAATAACGTGCCCCAGCGGATTATCATATCTCTCACTGAAGAAGACCATAAGTCCAGGGAAAAGTGAAATGATTCTGAGAGTGAAAAATCTACAGGTCCCATCAAATTCCACTCCTTCACATGTTAAAGCTGTGGACCAAAGCTGTAACTATGATGACTTCTTTATTTGTCGTCTGTGAATGTGTTTAAACTGAACTCAGATAAATTCTACGTTGTATGCCCAGGAATCGACACATAGAGGCATTTGTATAGAAATATAGACATTATCATCTTCTTTCCTCGACTGTACACAGAACAGCAATAAGATAAACAGATGGAAATCATGAACTTCGGATATTTGGTTGATTCTAACATTCAGGGATTTAAAAGGCATAGTGCAGCAGAACAAGAATGATTAGGAAAGTGCTAGAAAGGAATGAATATTACATCTAATTCTCATCATTTCAGTGATAATTACTAACAAATCATTGTAGCTATGCTCACCCGCATACGAATATTAAAAAAAATTCAGTAATCTTATGTTAGGACAAAGATGAGATATGTCATTAATGTTGCTTATTTAAGCTATGAGCTAAACATTCAGTCTTGGCCAAGACCAGAAGTCTGATTTTTATTCGTTCATTGCTAACCAGGGAAGACAGTTTTTTATATATTAAACTTGTAATTCGTTGATGAAGTAAAGTAACTAAGTGGAAAACTGCAATTTCTGCTCATTTGACTTTTTCATGAAAGAAAGTCCACCTTCTGAATCTATCTTTTGTGTCATCTTCAGTGTGGGAATAATAATCGAATGGTCAGTCATAAATGATTATGTAGTGGGGTAAATAACTCTTATTTCCTAATTCACATTTAGGAACTCAAGTCAGTTACTACTCAGTCATTTCAGAAGAAATTTGACGACACCCAGGAAATCATCAAAATTGAAGAGCACTGAACAACAGCTGTACAATTATTATCTGATGGAAACAACGACAGTGATTAATGAATCAATGAACTGGAGGCAATTTCAAGAATAACCTATCCCTATTCGTAACTCAAACGATTAATAAATCATTGTACTTTGTTCGAACTTCAAGATACCCATTACAGAATCAGTCATTACTGAGAGCTAGCTTAACAATCAATTCGGTGGAAGGTTTTGCTCACAATATACGGCAAAAGGTATGAAAGTTATAAATAGGGAAGTTTATACGAATGACGACGAAATGACTGTTAATGTCTTGATTACAAGAAAACATTTAAACGGTAAAACCAAGGAAATACAAACTTAGTCAAGCATATTTCAATTAAACATTTCAGGCTATTAATGGTATTTCATCATTTCTATCATTAGTACAGATACAGCTTGCATAGACTTCTTGAAAACTGAAAATTTCTCTCAATATATTACACTTAAAGCGTTTCAGTATATATATGCATTAGATAAGCAAAGCAAAGAAAAACTCTACGTACACACACACAACTATATGAGTAAGTAAGGCATAAGACGAGATGACACCGTTCGGGTATTCATTTCAAGAAAAAAGTTAATTGTTAAAACACCGTTATAGCAATATGAACTGAAGGAAACAGAAAATCATTTAGGCGATACAACTACATAAACCACTGGCGAATAAAGATGACCTGTACTGTCTGAAGTCTCAATATGGATTTTGGCAAACACAGATGTCGCACAGTACAATAACACAGCACGTCTCATAACAGTAAAATCGTATTATTCATATTATCTTGTAACCAAAATCATATTATTTGTAATCGGTAATAAGTCAGTGTGTTCTGTAATAAGCGTTTAACTCTTCCACTGCATATATTTCTCATTTGTGTTAAACTACTCTTCCAGGTTTATCAAGTGTTTCAACTAGCTGAGTTTACCCCTTAACTTTTTGCTATAATTTGTATCAATGAAAATACTTGAATTTATAAATACACTGTTTTTGTTTCAAATGATTAAAATATGTATACTGCTCAACTTCAAATCATCACTGAAAGTTATACGAAAACACAAAAAATGATACCGAAAACAGTACTGGGTTATAAACACTTGTCGGTTAATATCCTTTAAGGATTTCATCATGAACTGACATCAGTTAGAGAACCATCGGAAAACCTGGGAGTACTCGACAGTTGTTTCGTCCCAGTTTGGGACCCTTCAATAGTACGCACCCACCAGGGTTACGTACTGATGAAGAGTCCCGAACTGGGACGAAGCAACTGTCAAGTACTTCCAGGTTTTCCGATGGTTCTCTAACTGATGTCAGCTCATGATGAAATCCTGTAAAAATCTTATCTATAATGGAGTTTTACTCTACCATAGTGTCCAAGCTTTATACTTATATCAAAAATATGCTTTCTCTTGACAATTAGTCACTGTTTACCAACGTTCCACTCACAGAAACTGTACGTCACATTTGTCAATATATAGACGTTGCAGACGTTACTGCTGAAGGTGCATCATCTTTAAATAAGATAATATTAAAAATACTTAGAAGGCATCACCATATGACAATCACCATGGTGAAGTGTGGGTCATTAGACTTAACACTTGGCTCTTAGCCAACAGATTTGTGTTTCAAATATCGTTCTGCCTAATTAAGCATGCATGACCGTATGGTGCCAACCGCCCTCATAGAATAATTTGTGGCACTCAAGCAAGTACACAAAACATCTTTTCTGGGCATCCAACGTCAAAATAACCGATCATCACATGTGAGAGTTTGAACAGAATAATATACCTCTTAATTACAGAGATCGGTAGGTCGGTGGTTCAGGGGTAGAATGCTCGCTAACCACTCATAAGGTCCGGGATAGACGCACTCCTACACCTCGCTTAGCTGGTAGTGAAGCATGTAAAGAGGAAAGGTTGGGAGTGAGACTAGCAACCACAAGTGGTAAAAATAAAACTATTGCTATTGAAACTTCAGCTCAAAAAGCTTGAACCCTATGTTCCACACGGAACGCAAAGGAATATTAAAAACACAACAATAAAATGAATTATAGGAATATGAGAACTAACCAAAGATATTGAAAATCAACTATATATTATCGAAAAGAGGTTAATAGGACTTTAATAGTTTCACTGCTTATGAATTAACGAACAGTGAACATGTTACTGTAAGTTTGAGATAACTTATACTTCATGGACTTAAACTTTTTATGCTTCAATAACACGGTAGTTATTAGGCTATTCATATCTAACTTGGTGTGTCCGAAAACAAGTAGTTTTTTCTAACACATATAGTTTAGTAATTGTGTCACTTCAGAACTCTGTATCATACTCTTGACCTAACTATAAATTTCTATTCATCTTACCTTTCATCTGCTGATATTTTTAAAATCCAGGAAAGTACCTTTAACACAATGTTAATTTTCCGTCTGTAGAATACCTTGATGATTCTAATCGCTCTCTCGATTCTAGAATAATTATTGTATTTGAAATATACACAAACTTAACCCAGCTAATGATAAATACTGTAATCTGTATTCAGTGAAGTACTGACAGTAAGTCGTATAGTTCGCTGTTGCGTTTGAACGAGTCTGCTGTCCATTTGTACACTAAACTCTTACCATAAGGAAACACTTTTTGACGAAATGATTACATAAAAAGAAGTCTATACCATTTGAAAACGGGAAGACAAGCCGCACATTAGTAATAAGAGCTAACTGATAGTCAAAAAAAATAATCAATTAATATCGGCCAATAGTTTAAAAGATAAGATACTGTCGAATAATCAATCTGAATTTTATAATCCATATTCGTATATGAAATAGAAATTAAACGGAAAAGTAAATTTCTTTATTTTACGGTCACCTTCAGAAAAACAAACTGTCAAAATACCATCCAATTTTTGGAATAGTATTTATTTTTCTTTTTTATTAGCCATCATAAAGGAAGAAAATTTCTATATGACAGTGATTCACTTCAAGAAATTAGAACAAATACAGATTTTGATAACCACTAAATGTGTATGTGTGTGAACGATCAAGGAGAACTAGAAAAGTCAATAAAGCCGCGTTATTACAGTAAATTTCTGAAAGTATACGTTGCACAACATATTAAAATTATCATGTTATCACTAAGTCTACACAGAAATCAATGTTAGTGTAAGCAGTACATTCCTTCCCGCATAAATGTATTATCGTGATACATGGAGAAAAATGATATGTAGGAAAACAGGGTGGATTAAATTCAAGACATTCTTCTACAAACCAGAGTAAATGGATAAGATAAGCGTATACACCTTGTTTGGAATTGGACTGTTGAGTATTACATTCAATGAAGTCAGCATGCTTCGAAGTAGGAAAGAATGAGAAAACCAACAGTAGTGCAGAACTATTAAGAGGGACTACAAGAGTGATATAAATGAGTAGAAGGAATAAATAACGACCTTATTATACAGAGGAAGACAAATACTAAATATATCTGAGTCGTTACGAACACATAAAGCTGCAGCAACTACTGATTACAACTTCTCATCAAATCAAATACAACAATTCGACTAAGGTCGTAATTCACTGTCCCAATGACAATAATTAAGTACGTGAAATAAAATAAAATACCTACAAGCTAGAATGGACTGAGCAATCAAATAATAAATATTAACACGTTGAAATTTCAAGTTTCACTAAAAATTTCTTACTGATAATGACGGAGTGTGATTAAACCGGTAGTTTTGTAACAACAGGAGACAAGGGCCAGGCAACAGATCGTTTATTAAGGAAATCAACACGTATTTATATATTTTCATATACATTATTATAGCTTATTCAATCAAACAAACACAGTCTTCTGATTGGTTGTTTCTCACAGAAAGTTGACCTTGCATCTCTTTGTGACTGTTTCTTGAATGTCAGGTCGTCTATGTGTTAACTGTATCTGCCTACGCCAAGTCCGCTCGGATTGGTTGTCGAATCAGTCTTGTTAATATTTTCTCACGGCCAATATTTGGGACATAAACATTGACGTAAATTAATGTCCAGCAATTTGGCTAGCAGCCTGCTTTCACCACAGTTTAACTGATAATTCTGAACAATGTTTTCAACTTAGAAGATATAGTGAAAGTAAATGAGAAAAGAGGAGGATTCTACACTATCATGTCGATACCCAAAACTTTTCGTGTCAAACACCACACCTAACCTGCTTTTACACGGAAACTCACTTTGATTACACCGTCTTCTCCTGCAGACACAATCCATTTTCCATCCGGAGAAAAGCGAATCATATTCACAGATCCAGAATGACCACGATAAGTGTTAATACAACCTTTACGAGATACATCCCAAAGCTAGATTGAGAAAAAATATATATATTGACATTAAAAGTTAATAATTCTATTATAGTGAAAATTTATTTTGATAGTTGCTCACTCACAGTGCTATATAGTAATATTTACTGATGATATTTCCAGCGAGAATTATCGCTCATAAGCATATCACACTCTGCCCAAGTTCTATTCGTATATCAAAAGTTAAAGATTATTCACAGTTTGCATACAAACAAAACGAAGTGAAGTCATGCATATCAGCACGGCTATGAGGTTTTTCAAATGTGACAAATACGTTTCAAGCAAAAAATTAAATTTTTATCACGATACTTGTTAACAGATATTGATAGTAACATTTCTGCTTTAATCCCTAATTCAATTGTCTTATCCAACGAAGATATGGTAATCAGAGACATAGGGACAATCTTTTATTACAGAAATACACACTTTAGAAGCCCTTACAATCTGAAAGGTTGCATTCATTTCTATGGTAGGTTACAGAATATAGATGTCCTGAGTTAAAAACCAATGACTAATATCCAGGCTGGGGTCCTCGGGACGGTAAAAATCTATGGTTGGAAACAATTGGTGACATGGCTCAAAACCGTTCTCAGTGGCGCAGATGCATCCACTCCTTGTGACTTATGATCTCCAATGAAACTGTTTTGTATTTCTTTATTACTCTTCCTTTGTCTCACACCTCTGCTCACTGTTTCTATTATGCTTTTCTTGTACTTTCTTCTCTTGCTGGCTTCGCGTGCTACACGGAATGTGGCGACTTGAACTTCCGCACATTTGTGCAAAGTTCTATGTCGAAAACAGACAGACAGACATCAGCACTAGCCTGCTCCTATTTTTATGTAAAATACATATGTATCTGTATTGTTATACAGATACAGAATCCTAAGAGATAAAATATTTGTACATAGCCAACGAAAACTATGGGTTAAGCAAATGAATGGATAATGCTATTACTTTCAGTTCATAATTTGCAAAATGAAGTGAATACTTTTCAGAAATCACATGTATCTCCCTTAAGATAAAAAAAGAAAACTACTAAAGACAACATATTACTTTTCAAACTTTTAATATGTAAGGATTTAGTTGATTTTAGGGTCCATTTCGCCGACGACAGCAGTGGCGTTATACTTCGGAATCAATATGGTACTACTGAATTCTAACCCCATGGTTTAAAAGTAGCCTGTTCACCCAATAACTCCAAAGTCGTGGGTTCAAATCACAGTAGAACTATGTGTGGAACGTTGCAATTTTCCAAACTGGAACGACACAGCTGCCCATCGCTTTTCGGTTTTTAACAGTCCTTGAGTACTTTGAGGCTCTGAGGTCAACAATTGAGAAGATACAATATATAAATCTTTTCAAGACAAATCAAAGGGAACAACCAAAGAAAGTACAAGAAAGCTCTCGATGCAACCAAAGTGGAGAGATCATCAACCTATTTGATATGGACAAGTTCTACATTCCCAAAAAAAACTGAGTTTAGTAAATCACTACAATAAGACACCCATGCAGTGAAAGCCTATCAGCCAACATAGGCAATACGCCCTCCTTGGATTAGCGCGAACCTGCCAATCAACGCACTATTGCTTAGCCGATCAACATAAAGAAGTCACAGCCCTCTTTGCACCGTATAGAAAAACCAGACAAAAGCAGGCTTAAAGAATGTCACTCAATCTCAACGAAATGGTTTCAAAATTTTCTGTTTACGCAAAAGAAACTAACCAACAGGATAACTGAACACTTTGATCTGAAGATAAACGACAAAACACCGGCCAATCGAAGACAGTATATGCCCACATAAATCGCCTAACGACTAACCAAGGTAGGAGAGGTGGAGTGAAATGTTTCAAAAATTCATGAACAGCCAAAGTACCTTACCATCACCAAATCAATGCTGGACTGAGATAGACCACATAGCAAAGGGGTATCGTTAGCGAGGGTCAGTAGAAGACTGCCGCTCCTTCTGAAACACGGACCGGCTCTGGACTCTGATAACGCTCTGGTTCACGCACGTTTATGCTTACGATTAAACGGACATAGAAAATTGCTGGCAGCGAAGCAGTTACGCCCCCGACTAGATCGAGACTCTGAGTCCCTATTCAAGGAAGAAATAGCGAAATGTGTATCTGATGTCAAAAGCAGTACTCCTTCTGAGGTAGCCTGGCACAACATACAGTTAGCTGTAGACACAGTTGTAGAAGTTGTTAATGAACTGAAACCTAAAGTTAGTAAGAGCCATTGGATTTCTACGACCTCATCCGAACTGACTGATTTCGGCGAGCTCCGATTATTATGAGGAGAGAAAGCTACTCAAAAGCAAATTATCAAGAAGCCTTCGTAACGACCGTGGATAGTTGTGGGCGACAAAAGCGAAAGAGATGGAGAAGGCATCGGCGATTGGAAACACCAGACAACTATATTTAAACTAATCGCGGAAACAGGTGGTAATAGGCAAACGATAAGTGAAACAACCTTTAAGAAGAATGGCACCATAATTAGCCCCCATGGTAGACGAGTAGGACGTTGGAAAGAACACTTTGAGCAGCCACGCTCAACTTACCGAACATCCAACACCTCCCTGAATGGGATATAAACACAAGTCCTCCTTCCTTAACTGAAGTTACTAAAGCTGTCACTAATCTGAAAAGAGGCAAAGCAGCAGGACCTGATGAAACGACTCCAGAGCTATTTAAGTACGGTGGAGACAGTTCACCGTCTGCGTTAACTAAGGTACTAGGAAGCGTCTGGGAATCAGAGGAAGTCCCATCGGGTCGGTGTAAGTCATTGATTATACCGATGTGCAAGAAGAGACAAGTCCTCCTGTGATAATCACAGGGGGATAAGCTTGACCAATGTGGTATCTAAAGTTCTAGGCTCAATAATAATGCGTAGACTAAGCGGTGCTTAAGAGAACCAGGGAGGCTTTAGACCAGGAAGAGGGTGTATTGATTAGATCTTCACCCTTCGACAATCAATCTGAAGCATAGGCATACTTACCGGCGTCCAACAACAGTCATATTTCTTGACTTGAAAGTGGCATTCAATTCCGTCGACCGAGAGGTACTATGGCAATGTTTGATTGAGAAGGGAAGGATGAGAAGAAACATCACACTGGTTGAGGCACTCTACATGAACTCATGCATTCAGACAGGTGATAGCCTACGGAGAGTTGTCATCTGACAACTGTGGCGACAACCAGTGGTGTCCATCAGGGATGTCCACTATCCCCATTTGTTTAATTTCATTATAGATATCGTACTAATGGACTCAACTCTAACTAACTTCAGAGACTCGACCGACTTATTACCAAGGAATAATCTCATCGACTCAGAATATGCAGTCGATGGTATAGTCCTCCCTCCTAGGTGAAGACGCTGACAAAATGCAGTCTTCTGAATACCGTGAGCTTTAATCTCCGAATGTTTGTCAAGAGATCCGCTCCCGTCAAATGCAAGATGATGCTGCAGGACTGGACTACATTGACTCTTAGCTTATAAATAGGGAGTGAAGCGGTAGAGCGTGTTGACCGCTTCACTTATTTGGGAAGTACCCTCAGCCAGAGCCAACGGGTTGATCTCTGACGGAATCTCAGCACGGATGCAGAGGGTTAGTTTCGCATATGCCGGTTTACACCGTCTCTGGCGTAAACCTGATAACCGGGTTTTGACCGAATGGTGTGTGTACTGCTCACCAGTCCGCCCCGTCCTCTTTTATGGCTAGCTGTGAAACATGGCCATTGAGAGTAGAAGACATGAAAAGATTAGCTGTCTTCGATCATAGGTACCTGCGTTCTATTTCCCGTGTGAAGTGCTATAATAAAGTGAGCAATATTGAGGCTAGACTTCAGTCAAGTGCTAGGTAAGGAGGGGAAATCAATCGATGAGGTTATGAAGTTACACAAACTGAGATGGTTAGGACATGTGTAACGTATGCCTAGTCATCACCTTCCTCGATGGGCAATGTTAGCTGATATGGGGTCAGGCTGGAAAAGAGCTAGCGGTGGTCAAACCAAAACATGGCTTCATTAGTCAATGAAATTCACAACAGTTTAAGGCAGTCATGTAGGGAGGTGTAGACTTCCTGGTTGGTGTCCTCGGAACGGTAAACACCAATGGCTGGAAACTATTGGTGATATGGCTCAAAATCGTTCTCAATGGCGCAGATGCATCCACTGCTTGTGACTTATTATACCCATTAAAACTATATTCTATTCGCCTCATATCTCTGTTTAGTGTCTCTATTTCGCATTTCTTTTTACTTTCTTCTCTGGCTTTGTACGCTACAGGGAGTGTGGTGACTCGAACTGCTGCACATCGGTGCGAAGCTCTATGTTGAAACCAGCCGGCCAGCCAAAGTACCTTACGTCCTGGTTAGACACTAGTATTGAAGAATTTGACAACTGAAATCCTAGCCCAGAGAAAATCATAAACTACTGTACAACCTTTTTAAAACACTAACGAAAATACTTAATACGGCTGTTCGATGAAATGTTCGCAAGTCCCTATAATTCGTCATAATGGCGCATTAATATGACGAGATAAATTTGAGCAATCACTACTTGAAGGTCAACAAATTTTTTTACTTGGAAAGTGAAGCATACTTGACATGGTCTCTTAGAATAATTATGCTGTTTATTTATGCAACGCATTAATGTTCATTGATATGTATCCTTATGTAAACAGATTTTCTACAGCTAACTAGGGAAGACAGTGAAGAACATATCGATTCAGATTGTGAATATCAAAAGGTATCTAGACAAACCACGTTTAGCTACATTATCAGCATTCCAAAAGTATATGGAGAGCAGGGAAAATTTTTATTGAGATATCAAAATGCACATATGCTCAGAAAATACTATCTGGTTGACAAAAATATCAGAAATAAGGATGCACAAAATTTGAGTAAAGGAAATAAGTCATCAACAAACATAAAAGTCAGTTAGAACTATAACCGTTTCAGTATACTTTAAATATATAATAAGTACACTTTTGATGTCTCCATGATTACATTTAACAATTGATTATAATAAATCGAAACTCACTTTTACTAAGGTATCCATTGCACCAGATGCCACAAAATTGCCATAAGGATGAAAGTCTAGAGTTTTGATAGCTGAAGTATGGCCAGATAGTGCCCGGATAACTATAAAACAATGACAACATTAAGTCAGCATTACTTAGCAACATCAATTTCCCTTCAATGTGTATACCGGTAACACAATCGAAAACAGATCCTTGGTCAAATGATAGAAATACAACAGATATACTCGAAGAAATATGAATTTAATTTCATTCATTTCATGGTACAGTCACAGATAAAGTGCAAATCAAACTAACAGATGCATGAGAAGGTGTTATTACTGCTAATACAGTCCTAAATTCTGGATTGCCAAACCCAACCTATCACATTTCGGTTCTCTTTTAAGTACCTATCGAAAACTTAATGGTTACAGAACACAGAGCCGTGAACAAACAACCATCGTGAACCGCATTATGAAAGGTCATATATGATTGATCACGGTGTTGATAGAGTAAGGACAAAACAATATTTAATCGATAGTCTGAAGGATGGGACAGTAACAGAAACTACTGTAGGCAGCTGGAAACAAATGCTGAAATGCAGTTATATGATGGTATCCAATTTAAATTTTCAAGCCTAGATTATTCAAGACAGATAACTGCTCATTTACCTGGAGTGAAGTCCTATGTTCCACTCGGAACACATGAGAATAATAACAATAATACGTAAACTGAAATTATGCCTAGAGACAAATCCTAAACGGTGTGGTAGAATCAGTGAAAAAATAAACGCTAGTTTATCGTATACCGAGTATTTGATGAGCAGTCCTAAAGATTATAAAGAAAACACGAAAACTCCAAGCAATAGGAAAAGATAATAATCAACAGTCAATCGGTGATTGAGTAAAGGTGACTAAACAGCCTATAATTTCTTACGAATGAAAGTTTGCCGTTCTAGTCATTATGACAGAACATACTGTTAAAATCTAGCAAATTTTCAAAGGCACCCGTTACAGGTTATGTACAGTGTTCACTGCACAGTAAATAGGTCAGTATGTCATATTGCGGCGTGTGCTACTGATAAGATTTATCAGTGGTATATATATAGAGAGATGTTCATCGGCATAAAACATCAAATAGCAGGGAGACAGATTTGATTTCAGAGAAAGCAAATGATAAACTGTTGCGGAGATACATGGGAGACGTGAAAGGAACACAAAGAAACACAATATGAAGGCCAGAAGTAACACAACACAGAAGATCTGTGTAAATGGTGCTTTGAAGATAAGGTGTACATAATTTAGCTGTATAGAGATACCGAATTGCAAATGAACATTCCTTTACCAAGTCTTTCGTCTTCTACCATTACAACACTAAAGTAGAATAAATATCCACTTCAAACTATAACAAATTTCTAGTCAGTTCATTTTTGAATACAAACTTGACGTTTGCTGTCTCCAAAACAAGTAGTAAGTTTATATGTCAATGTGTGTGGAAATGTAATACATCTGTACGAACAAAAAATTGATACATCAGATTTTAAAGCTGGGAAACGATATAAAGACCAGTATCAGTGGATTGGTATTTTGAAACAAGTAATTCAGTTAAAGCATCTGCTGAGATAGGACTTCAGCCTACTGATTGTAGTGCTTGACTTGCTGTCAGTTATTACAGATTCAAACCATTTATCAAGAAATAACCAAATTTAACTTCTAAACCCTTGGCAAGTAACGTGGACTATACAAACTTGTGACTGGCGACGTAAATTGTTTGTGGTTAGAGCAATATATGGGTGAAAATGATGAAAATTAACCCATAACTGTGCCAAATGAGAAGATACGAAAGATACTTCAAAACTCACTAACCCAACAGTTTTTCAAATAGCCATACACATAATTTAGGGAGTAAGTTCAATGGCAAAAATCAGACTCCACAGGTTGAGGCTACAAATCGAAATCGATATATGTTGTTTGTTAAAAATTAGTTGCCTAAAGCAAAAATTTTATGTATGACTGTGGGTTACACATATGATGTGAGGGGTGATGCTACTATCCAGCTACCTAGGTTAAAATACGTGGAAAGGGATTCGTAATCGTGATTTATTGGATGAAAGTAGAGTGCTTCAGCTGATGATCCAGGTTTCAATTAGTGCGTATTCTAGCCTTTCCGAATCCAGTTGCATAACATACATAGGAATACCAACCGAATTCCGAAAGGTATGAGCTTCCGATCCTTGAAGTGCAAATTCAAAATATTTGGTCGTTGAATCCTTAAACAGTTGAATAATTACTCGGTTATCGCTATGAGCCAATTGAATCTGTCAATACAGAAACTAAGTATCACTTTACTCCACTTAGCTGGCATAGTGAATCTACAGAACTCATCCTAGTGTTGTCAGATTTTTCCATGGATACTTGTCATACAACTTTTGATGTGTGAATAGCATTAAAGAGGAAAAATCGCATTTTGACTAGAACCCGGTGGACATTTGTCTGTGTGCTTATAAATTAAATCAGTCTCTAAGAATGAAGAAATATTATCATAGTCTATTCTTTCATAATCTTCACTTAGGCAACCATTGATTGTGGTTAGAATGAAGCAAATCCTGACACTTGTTAGAGATTATTCGGTTTACTAAATAGGACGAGACTCCTAAATGTAATCATCTTGGTAAATGATATTAACGCTTAAACAGAGAAGCTAGGCCAGTCCGAAAGACATATTTGGACACAAACAGACCATTTTGCAGTAAATTACTGACGTACGGAATCAGTAAGAGATAGACGTTTCCTCTAAAACACCCGGGTAAACTACGAATATACAGTAGTTTTTATGTTTCTGAGGTTGAATAGACGTAAAGACAAGCATCATGGAACTCTTTCGAGGTAGAAGCATTCGATCTAGATCCACAAAGAGTCGACTCAACATTAATATGAACATGACAGCGGTTCTAATTCCGGGAATCAGCCTTGAACTAAATCCAGTCTGATGTCAAAAGGCGGAGAAATAAACTGATAATATTAAGCTAAAGGTTGAAAAAAGCCAGTGGATTTTCGTAACACGGGTTAGAAACAAAGACTGAAATTATTATGGTAAGTGCGATAATCTTATAGAAGAGCAGAATTTGGATACAATTTCAGGAGGGACAGCCGAAACATTGAGTAAGAAACTCTAAGGAGCAGTTCAACATCGCATTCAATTCAACTCCAGCTTCAACAGAAAGTATAAATATGAAGATTAAGTGACGCTCAAGAGAAACTAGTCTGAGAAAATCAGGTGTACTTTTTCTAAATGTTTCTGTGAGAAGTTGTATGTTGATTCATTGTTCAGTCAGTTATTAAACATATCGACAAGTAGAAAGTATGCATTGAGAATCAAAACGCATCTGGATTTGCATATTAAAGTTAGTTTTAAGAATATTTCTAACTTTCTATTATGGGCTGTAAAAAATGTTTCTATTATTTAGAATATCTTGACTACAGTTGACAACTGTTCTGCGGCTGACCTAAACTGAAACCAAAGAAAGTATATTGGCTAGGGAGCAATTTTTGTCACTTCATCTCAAAGTAAGCTTTTATTTCCATTATTTGTATCACAGTGGCTAGTAGTACACTCCACATTACACATTCCGTCCATTTAGGAACGGAATTAAGACAATGCTGGGTATTTATTCAAGAAATAAAAAACTCATGGAAGTTATTTAAATGGATCTTGTTACACTAACAACAGCAAATTACAAATTCAAAAGAATTGTTATTCCTATTCCACAATTTTTTGCAAGTTTTTTTTTGTTAAACTCATTTCATACTGACATTGAAAAAACGTGGCTGAAATTGTGTGAATTATCGATAACGGGAAATAAATGCATGGGTTTTGCAGTTTTATTCATCGCACTAACTGAATTTCTTGGAAAATCCATTTTTAAGGCACTTCAGAACAATTATTTGAGGTGATTAGGAGTAATGATGAAGCGCTATGACTAATTTCAGTGTATTTAATCAAAAAATAAATAATCACATGAAGAAATACAAAATGTGGTATGTCAATTACTTTTTACTTCTTCTAAATCCCATATACGAACAGAACCTGATAATGACCCAGCTGCAATGCGGTCCTCCTCTTGACTAAATTCGGAAGCCTCTATTGATGATGTATGTCCTGTAAGAGTTAATATACAAGTAGGCTTTCCAACTGCCCACAATTTTAGACGACGATCATCTCCTCCTGTGGCCATCACACGACCAGATTTACGACCCAATGTGACAGCAGTAACCGAGCCAGGCGAATGAGCAACGCATTCTTCTAAATTAAGAAAGTAGACAGGCTATACACATCTGATTATCACCAGTAACTAAATGAATGATAAAATGAAGAATAACGACTGGAGGATGAAATATAAGACAATAATTGCCTCCCAAAGTAATTAAAATACGATCCTAATGGACAAATAATAGTCCATCGCAAAAGATAAGTATATACGTATCAACAGGAACTGCTTCAATTCTGAACAATTTGGATATTAATTATTCGCTTATGACTAAAGTTTGCTGGTCTAATTGTGAGATTTGACCCATAGGTTGAGAGGAAACATGAAATAATGTTTATGGTATCAAACCACTAGACTAAATCGAAATAAGACTATATACTTGATTTTTATTCAAGACACAATCACTGTCTTAAATTACGTCAGAAATTCGGACCCATGTGAATTAAAGGTAGACAGGAAATGTAATCCTTAACCAACGGAACAGTAAACTGAGTATGAATCAATAACCAAACAACTTTTGGAGCGTATTGGGAGAGAAGTAATGCTTTTTGTTGTCCAGGTGGATGCTACTGTGTGTTTGAACCTGTTAGCCATCGAATGATGAGTACCCATATCCCATATCCCTTAAAAAGGAAATAAAGAGAACATAACAGATTGGAGAAGAACAACAATTCTGGTCTGGTAAAGTTAAAAGGTAAAATCCCTCCAAAATTGCACGTCTATTCGAGAGGAATATCTCTGACTCAGAATTAAATGAGTTTTATGATAAAAAGTGGTAACCAAATGACAGACTATAACAATACTCAGAGGTATATTAAAGCAGTGGGCAAATTGCAGGTACAACCGATGCTGACATGCCAGTTTATTATGCGTGCATTTATTAAAAACAACCTAAAAATTATCGCAATCTGAGATTTACTGCATCATTTTCCACTGGACTTTTACGGATCAAAACACAACGTGACTTCTGAAAGCTAGTTAGCCAAGAAGTAGAAGATTTACAACTTTGATGGAAATGAAATGCACAAACTTTTATGACCTAATAGCAGTTGATAAGCAGATTCTTCGAAGAATAATGCCGTTATAAGGTACACAAAATCTACCTTAAAGCGACAGTCACCTGCAGTTTTGCATTCTGAATAATAGTAAACAAAAATAAGTGAAAAACAAAACACGTAGTTCAGCAAAAAGTCTCTTTTCAGCGAATTCATTAATGCTTGGTTGGGTATTATTCAGGAATTAAAAATAAGTGATGCGTAAACTGGAAAAATGTAGGTTCAGGTGCATCTGCAACTCGAATCACCAAAGTTAATTCTATTAACTATGCTTTAAATTTGTTCTGACAAGGTAGCTTTCCTAAAAGATTATGCGAAGAGTTATGTAGTGAACAAAAAGTAATTGTTGGTATAAGATGGTTGGAGGCAATCCGCAGCCTTCCCGCCGATAGTCGCTTCTTGGCTTAGGATCTACAATTAGGTAGAACCTTAATTATTATTATTGTTGCTCCCTTGGGTTCCTAGTGGAACATAGGGCTTCATCTGCACGTCTCCACTTGCTTCTGTCTTCTGATGTACTTTTCACCTGCATCCATGTTAGTCCATACTCTTTCAACTTCTATTCACACCATCTCCTCCATGTCACCCTTGCACTGACGTCCCACTCACCGCTTTCCTTTCGGGTTCCACTCGAGCAATGGCCTGACGCGCGCGCGATGTCACCCAGCGGTCTCCTCAGCGAGTGTCCGATCCATCTCCACTTTCTCCTGCATATTTGTTGGGCGATTGGTTCTTGCTTTGTTTGTTCCCATAATTCCTTGTTGGTGATTCTTTCCGGCCATCTGATCTTCAGTACAGAGCGAAGACAGTTGTTAATAAAGGTCTGCAACAGGCTGTTGGAAATATTCTTTGTGACCCGCCAAGTTTCTGATCCGTATAGAAGAACTGACTGACTTGACGTTTGTATTGAAAATCCGACTGAATTTTGTTGTTGATGCTGAGTTGAGTGACGAAGATTTCCTTCCAGATTGGTTTCAGGTTGATGAATGTGTTTCTCGCCTTCCCGATTCTCGCTCAATTTGACATCCTCGTCCGTTCCGACTTCCTGTAGTTGAGACAATGCTCCCTAGATAAGTGAATGAAGTAACCTCTTTCAAATCCCTCCCGTTGATGGTGATTGTCGCTGGATGTTGCTGCTGCTGTTGTGTTGTTGTTGGCTGGTTATTTTCATAACCTCCGTCTTGTCTATGTTCACTTGGAGTCCTGTCTTCGCCGGCTGCTTCTTCGACCAGTTTGTCGGTTTTCGCTTGTAAGTCTTCGATTTTGTGTGACATCAAACATAAATCATCCACGCGTGAAATCCAGGTCTTCTAGGTTCTTCACGTCGGTCCAGGATATCCCTGTCTTCTCGTTTCCCACTGTCTGACGCATAATCCAGTCAGCACCACAATTAGGAATATCATTGGTGATAATAAGCACCCTTGTCTGACTCCTGTGTTTACTCCAAACGCCTCGCTGAGTTTTCCGTTGTGGATCACTTGACATGTGGTGTTGTCGTACAGCTGTTGAATAAGGTTGATGAATATTTGGGGTACGCCGTAGTACTCGAGTAATTTCCAAATTACTTCGCGATCAACGCTGTCGAAGGCCTTCTCAAAGTCTATAAAGTTGAGGTAGAGGTTTGATTGCCATTCCATGCTTTGTTCTGTGATGATGATGCGTAGAGTTGCAATTTGGTCAGTACATGATTTGCCTTTCCTGAATCCAGCTTGTTCTGGTCGGAGTTCTGTCTCCAGTGCGTCCTTTAATCTCTCCAGGATGATGCGACTCAGGATTTTACTTGGCGTCGACAGGAGCATGATTCCTCGCCAGTTCTTGCAGAGTGGGGCCTAAGTCTCCCTTCTTTGGTAGTTTCACGAGGTAACCTTTCCTCCAGTCAGTAGGCACCTTTCCCTCCTTCCAGACCTTTTGCAATAATGGAGTCAGCATGTCTGCTGTAGTCTCTGGGTCCGCTTTCAGTGCTTCAGGGGGTATTCCATCTGGTCCAGCTGCTTTTCCAGCTTTCAGAAGCTTGATTGCATTCAAGACTTCAGCTTTCGTTGGAGGATTGGTGTCAACTTGCAGTTGTGTACGTGCTGTTGTTGGTATTTCTGGACGGGTTGCAGGTGATGGTCGGTTCAAGAGTCCTTTGAAGTGATCCGCCCATTGTTTAATCTGTTTTTCTTCCTTGGTAATTGGGTTCCCTTGGCTGTCTTTTATAGGTTTCGCTTGTGTTGATCTCTTCCCGGATAGAGATTTGGTTATCTGATATAGTGTCCTCAGGTCCCTTTTGCCTGCTGCCTTCTCAGCTTCAGTGGCGAGGTTGTCGTAGAATCGTCTTTTGTCCTTCCTAGCACTCTTCTTCACTTCTTTGTCCAGTGCTGTGTAAGTTGAGCTCAGCGTCTCCTTCTCCTGTCCGTCCTTGCATTGAATCATTTTCTCTTTCACCATTCTCCTCTCTTCTATTAATTTCCAAGTGTCCGTTGAGAGCCATTCCTTGTCTTGTCTCTTCTTTCTTCCTAGAACCGTTGAACACGTTTCGTTGAGAATCGCCTTCAGAGACTTCCAATGTTCTTCCACGCATGATTCTTCAGTGATGTCGCGTAGTGTTTCCTGCTTTGCTCTGACAGTTGCAGTGAAAGTGTCCTTTGTGGTTGTGTCCTTCAGTAATTGAGTGTTGAACTTGCATTGTGGCCTATCCCCAGCTATCCTCGAGGCTTTTAGTTTCACCTTGAAAGTCCCTTCTACTAGATAGTGGTCTGAACCCACATCTGCTCCTCTCCTTGACCTTGTGTCCAGTAGGCTCCGTCTCCACTTTCTTGAAATTGAGATGAAGTCTATTTGGTTTTTGGTGTTTCCATCTGGTGAAATCCATGTCGTCTTGTGTATATCCTTGTGTTTGAACACACTGTCACCAATCACCAAATCATTGAAGGCGCAGAAGTCTGAGAAGAGTTCACCATTGTCGTTCATTTCACCGAGGGCCTCACGACCCATGGTGAGTTCTCTTCCTGTGTTGTCTCGTCCCAGCTTCGCATTCATGTCGCCCATCAGGATTTTGATATCGCCATTTGGGACGTTGTCCATTACCGTTTGTAGTTGTCTGTAGAACGCCTCCTTCTTCTCTTGTTCTGAGACGTTTGTAGGCGCATAGCATTGAATGACTGTAACTTTCCTTCCTTTTGAGTTGAACCTGGCTGTCATTATCCTGGAGGAGATTGGTTCCCACTGCATGAGAGCTTTGGTTGCTGTTGGTGACATCATGATGGCCACTCCCTCGGTGTGCTCGTGGTTGTCCTCTGGGTGGCCGGAATAGATTACTGTCTCTCCAGTTGGTAGTTGGCACCTTCCAGTTCCGTTCCATCTGCTTTCGCAGATTCCCAACACTTCTATTCTGTACCTTCTCATTTCAGCGGCTATCTGGGCAGCCTTTCCAGTTTCGTACATTGTACGAACATTCCAGGTACCCATCCTTACTTTTGCTTTCATCGAAAGAAGGCACATCGGCTGACTGGCTTCCCGAAGGCTTTCACCAGCCTGCGTCATTTCACTTCCCCGATTCCAGCGAAAAGTAAGGCTATTGCTTATGTTTTTAGAATTTTTAATATATTTATTCGTTGAAGTTTCTGTAGCGATTTGGTTGTTTTACAGGGGTGGAGTTGCTAGCACCACGCCCCAACCCTCCCTCTTTACCCGGGCTTGGAACCGGCTAGAAAACTAGAAAGCTAGAAGCCTAGCAAGCTAGTAATCTGGCGAGGTTTAGAAACTTAATGCTGTAACAAAAATTTGAAGGAAACATAACATGCTTTGCGTAAAAATCACCAAAACTTTTACAAGATCTCAACAACACTACAGATAAATTATGTATTCATTCACGATCATGCTCTCTGAACCGGTGTCAAAACTCCAACAGAAGGCAAGCTAACAGGACAAGTAATTATTCACCCTCAATCTTTCCCCCCACTACTCGTGCAAACCAATCGTAGAACAGAAATCAGTTAAGTAAGGCACTCAAGATTTAATCAACGTATTTTCTACACCACAACCATAATTCTATGTCAGCGCAGTTACAAACAGATAGATTGAATGTGATAGTAATTTTATCCTAAAATTATTTCTACGAATTAGTAATCCTTTAAATACCAATAAACTCAGTACATGTCTACTTAATAGTTTCCTTAAAATATTTACTTGACAATAGGTCTCACGGCTTTCGAGGCCATAGTAATCAGCGAGAGAGAGAGAGAGAGAATATGTATTTACAATTATGTCAACTAGTAAGTAACAATACGATAATCAGCATTATGTGAAAAGGATATAATCAGTCGACAGACTAAATATCGATCCGACACTATCTGGCAGGCGTTATCTGGAAAAATCAGTCGATAGACTTAATATAGATTTCCATATCATATTCCCTTTTCAAAGTAAATCAGCTGATGTCAACCTGGAAGCACCCCTGGCTGTCCGAAGTCGGAATGGTTCACTGTTACATAGCATGTCCTTAGCTTCCGTGACTTCTTGAAGTTGTATTCCAAAAGTTATTTTTTATTTCTTGTTATGAGGTTGTTGGCTATTTTATCGGAAGACATTGTAGTTTATTCTTATGTCGTCTATTTTCCGACTGTGATAACATACCTGATAATACCGCCTCTGCCAATAATCAGTCCTATCCATGTCCTGCTGTGAAGTCTCTAGTAAAGACAGATGTCCCGAGGGGCGATCAGCGGCTTAGCTGCAAGTAGATTAGTGGCCCAACTGTTGTGGGCCACTTGAAGCCTTCTTACTACCAATGCATACATCTTTATTGGTTAAATGGGCTCTAGAGCATAATTATATTTCAATATCGGTTGAATTCAGATGGATCCAATTTAAAAAATTTTTTAAGAACCATCATTGCTAGCAAAATCTACTTTGAAATTGCCTGCATATCTCCCGAACTAAGTATCAAATGTAAATTTGGCATCAGGGTCATAGCGAAATTCAGTAATGTTATGGGTAATTCCATTGACTGAAGAGGTTATTGCAACTGGAGTAACCTAGCATGATTAAGTAATAGAAATTTTTTGGAGCGTAATCAACTAGCTCATTTTTATTTGCTGTTTAGGGAATCTATCCAACTTCGATGAATCCAGCAAAACCTTCGCTTCTCACAAATTTTCGTTATTTATTAGCTTAGTGAGTCACACAACTTGCAAGGCCATGGTGATCACGGAACGACAGACAGCACACAACAGGAGAACATGTATTCACAAGTGTCAACTAGTAAATAATATTGTTGCGATCGGCGCGATTTAAAAATGAATCAATGGTTGACTAAATATATATCCCCATACCTTTCTAAGATGTATACATACACATATATGCATACATATATACTTATTTATTTGTGCAACCAGACGCCACAGGAATCAGGTGCACCCACTAATTGTGTGAACTCTCACCTACTATTGACATCATGCAGTTGGATAGAACTGAATGATATAATTGCACTTTCCAAATTGCTCTTAGGTTTATTGGATGACTTACCTGAATGATAATGAAGTTAGATTTTCCAAAATGCCTAAGAGCAGACCTAGTAGATGGAGCGTACTCTTAAGGGACGAGAATTGAAATGCCTAGGTAAGAACACGAAGCGTGTGAAAGTAGGACTTGACAAAATACATCCGACATTTAACACACTCCGACTTATAAAATGCCAAGTATGTAAGAATAAATATCCTTTACTTTGATTTCATTCACTATAAACTTCTTTATTTCCCACGCGAAATTCTAGCCACGAAAAACTAAAAATACAAGTGCGGTTTGACCTGGCGATCATGTACTAAATAAGGTCTGTCAGTCGCTTATAAATACAGGGATTAAATGTACGTTTACTTATAGTAACGGAACAATTCGATTTCATTCCATATGTGAACATGTGTGAGCAAATACACCTATCTACATACGTGTTAGACATTATATGTTTTTTCGATAATTCTCGTGAAAAATAAACAGAAGCTCCACACCATGCAACCGTTGAAAGCTAATAACTAAGATACTTACGTAATTTCCAAGCCTTCATTTCGCCGTTATCTCAAAATACACTTTATCTCAAAACTCCCTGGCGCTTGCTTATATTGGAGGTTTCAATTATGCTGCCAACTAGGCTGAAATAATCTCGCATGCTCAAGGTCATTGAGTGGATAAGGCACTTAAAGGTCATTTCCATCTATGTCGAATTGCTGTTTGTTAACCGTTCGTTCACACATTGGTATTTCTCTTTATTCTGCAATTATTTGCGATTTACCTCAATGTCGATTATTCGTTCGTGGGTGACGCTAAACTAAAGCAGCACAAAAGGAGCCTCCAAATGAACAGACCAATGACCTTGAGGAACCAGCCAGACGATTCCGTAGAATATGGACGAAATTAGAAGTGCTGGACACCAACTACGTATCAAATTTCATCCATATCTAGTACTTAAGTACCGCTTAGACCACAGGCTCACTAAAAGGGAGAAGGAGAAGTCAAAGTATTAAATTCGAACTCAAGGCCTTTCAAAAGTTGACCTTCGGGAACCTATCAAATACCAAGAATGCTAAGAAATGTCATTCCAAACCAAATCATACCTGTCTTTTTGGACTTAAAAGGATGGGTACAGTATTCTACTTACTTACCGGGTAATTTTTCTCCAAATCGATTGTATTAGGTTGAGTTATACCGCTGAAGATTGAGGTTTAGGGTCTACGGTTAGGATTAGGTTTACGGTTTAAGTTAGAGTTAGAAGTTGGGATCATACTTTGAGTTAGGAGTAGGTTAGTACGAGAAACACTAATGGATCTCAAAGCACCATGACCTAAAGTTTTCTGCATGAATGGATACATCGCGCATGATGCGATTACTCTGCCGATCATCTTGTTGGTGAGTGGGAGACATTCTTACAACACATAAGCTACAAATATACAGTGTAATATCGTGCTCGTAATATGTTTTAATCTGTTGTTTAGAGATTATATGACTTTTTGTATATCAATTCTGATAGCTTATTCACGGTAACTGTGATTTCGGCCCCTGGCATAAAAAGTGTGGCCAACTGTCATCCGAGGACTATGTTCATAACGTCGTCAGCAATACGGACCACGCAATTCCAATCAGACGTCATTATCTCTCTAAATAACGTCGATGAATCCTTACCGATTTCTGGAATATTATAACACTCTTCAACCATCACTTATATTAACTGTCAACCCAGCTTCCTATTTTCCAGATACTTCACTACCAATTATCAAATTGAATTCACTTTTTTTCAGGACTCACCTTTTTACAACTGGAGAACAACCTAGCACAAAAGAAAACTAAAGAGTTCATCATTTCGTGGTTTATATTTCAGGATCGATTTTCAGGATGACTGGCTTCTATTTATTCTGTATTTCTGTGTCTAACGCTTTTGTCCGTTTATTCTTTATTTTTAAGCGATAAATTTTCGTACCGTACCCATAGTAGTTTTCAGTGTGTATATCCACTCGATATAATATTTGTCCACAAACCTGTTTTCGATTTAGCTCAGCTTCTACTCTAAACCATACTGATCAGTGTGCAACAATGGCACAAAGTAATAAAAGAATACCTTCTATACGTAATAATAGTCTAGGTCACTCAGCTAAGAAGATACGTACATCGCTACACGTTCCACGTAGCCCCAACAACTTCCCCGACTTGTAATCAGAGATATACGAAAACAAAACAAGTTGGCCCTTATCTCTCTAGGAAACTGTGTAGGAATACAATCAGAATATAAATACTATTAAGTCGTTAGCACTTCTTTGTAACCCAACTCACGATTTCAACCTGGAAAGTTTTCTGAGGTCTGAGCGTTTGTTATATTTTATAGCAAATGAAGTGACTAAACGGACCATGTCTTCCTACAACGTTCTCGCATATGGTCTGCCTGATTGGCTGTCGGTGGACGAATTCAAGGCGACATGTCTCCAAGAGTGCGGAATGTCGTCGGAAAATCGCCATGTAATCAGGCTCAGGAAAAAGTCAGGAAAATCTACCCTTCCTCCTCTGTTTAAATTCAGTAGTTCTAATGATGCTAGGAGATTCCAGTCTTCTAACAGGCTGATTAGTTCATCTACACCTTATGGTAACGTTAAAACTTGCTCATAGCCTAACACAATAGTAAAAACGTAACCGTGCAAGTGTATCAAGTGTCGTAAAGATCTATCTAACCGCAGAACTTCCTACGAAAGAATCTATCACCTCACAATTGAGTAGACCTAATGCTACAGACGCCCATAATAATAAACTACCTTGAATAATAGCACCTTTCTTAGTAAACTGAACAGGGAATCAACTGTGGCCAAAGACTGAGATTCATCTTTAGAGTTATGCTGACTAGACACATCAACATCAGCTGCTGATACCACTACCAATGTTAAGAAAGGGGCTAAGCTCGAGCATGCACGAATAAATATGACGCCTCCAAAAAGCACTCAGACTAGTATGCACACAAAGAGAAGTAGCGTTGCCCTACCACCCACATTACCAGTACTCAAACTCGTTACCGACTGGTTTCTCAGTAGCAAACCAAATAACACTAACTTAACCAATTCCAATCCTACCATTAACCTAAGGAAGCTGAATTAGTCTCCATACTGCCATAAGTACGTTTTCAGTGAAAAGAGGCGTAACGCGCCGATTCGTCCAACACCGAACAAATCTTCATCCGATATGCACATCAGCGCTATCTCTCTGGGCGCAAAAAAACTAAGTTGAAACCCTACAGGCAGGCAAACATCTACCATGGCACAGCCCTCGTATCTATGGCGAATATAGAAGAAAGTGTGATCTAGGGACCTCTACAACAAGGAACAAGTGGGTTAAGCTTGTTTCCCAAAGGTGGCCTCCTGATTCACCACATCCCTGTAGACGGTTGGATACAGACTACCCGAGGTCATCGACGGACTAATATTTACAAAAATAACTTAAAGACACAAAATGTTAGTCATCACTGCGATGCACGCAACTTTACTCCGGCATAATATCCACAAGAAATACCTACCTCTCCTTCATCTAATCTAAATTTTCTCAGCCAACACGAAATTTCAACTTCAGTATTGACTCAACTAGCACACATAATATCAAGCTACTTATCACCAGGAGGAGGGAGGTGCATTGCAGTCACGGTATTATGAACACCTGACACCCTCAAGGTAACCAATGATAGAATCCCTATGTGCTGATGCCCGCGTAGTACACTTTTCCAGCGCTGCCATTAAGTTGCGCCTGTCCCAGTCAGGACCCACCAAACAGTCTACTCCAGAAGCCTTAAACCTTGAGGACAGCGTTTTTAAAGACATATGCCATTTCACCATTATCCCTAACTCTCTCTCATTATGTCTCATCAATGCTGGCTCCTTGCTCAACAAAATGTTTGGCTTCACTACGTCATCCTTAATTTGCAACCCGTCTCTCATAATGATTACTGAAACATGGCGCACTCCTCAGATTTGCGATAAGAATGTCTCTACTGATAACCACTACCTATTCAGGGGTGACAGGAACCAAGGCAGAGGAGGAGGATGTGCTATGTGTATCAGGTTTGATATTAAGGCCACACAGTGCTTCTACCCAGAGCTCATCACGGATAACGATTCAGTCTGGGCTATTCTGAAGCCGTCTCACTCCAATTCCTATCTCATAGGTTGCATCTATCATCCCCCACGCTCAACTGTTGAAGGCGATATGAAGCTTGCTAACATGTTCGCATACGCCAATTCACTCTCTCACACGGATAAAATTATGTGTGGGGACTTTAATATGCCTGATTTAGTCCGGCAACCACTTTGCTCACCAAAACGGTATCATGAATCTTTGAACATAATAGAAACAAGAGACTAGCAACAACACTTAAACCATCCTACCAGGATATCTAAAATTTTAGATCTAGTTTTCACTAATGGTATCATCCCCACTACCATTCGAGTAGGTAAAGAGTTTCCCGGCAGCGGCCACATAGTAGTATTTGGTACATTCAATATGTGAACCAGCGTGAGTTCAACAATAAGCGCAAACAAAGCATTACTCGGGGTGATAGACACGCTTAGTGGGATGACGTGAAACCATACCTACACGCTGTCGACTGGGAGCCATACTTCACATGCACCTTTGCTATACAGAAAAATACTTTACTGTATGTGAACCTGAGATTTGCACATGACTTCACTGCTCCAGCAAGTCTGGTGAAAACGAGGCCTAAACAGCCCGACTTCATCCCCGTGAAGATTCGAAACCGCCTGCGGAAGCATGCTAGACTATTCTTTAGATGTGGTGACTTAGCACCACTCATTACACTGACTCATCACGAATTAAATCGCGAATCAGCAACAAGAGAATAAGTATCACTAACCTAATACTTGATGGAGAAAAAATATACGAAGACCCGCAGCAGATTTTCGAGGTATCCAGCTTCCACTTTGCTAGCTTCTTTACTAGCGATGACCTGGCAGCTAGTCTTGATGTTCCGACACCACCAAGTCACTTTTTGGGTAATGTAACATTCACCTCACAAAAAATCTCCTCCGATATAGCATCCCCCTGACATCATATAAAGCCGGACCTGGTGGAATTCCATCTATCTTGTTGAAAAAGGGTGGTGAGGACACACCCATTATCCTCCTAAAGTTTTTCAGTCAGTACTTAAATAATGGTAGATAATCACAGCTCTTAAAGCTGTCATTTATAATCCCTAGGCACAAACTAGGACCAACCTCTAATATCGGAAACTACCGACCCATCAATATAACGTCAGGAGTTTTCAGAGTCAAGGAAAATGTCAAAGGGCAAGATATTTCTTCATACCACTACCTTCACAAAGTTTTCACCCCCCACAACACGCCTTCTTGAAAAGTTGATCATGCTCCGCCTACCTACTTCACTACTTTGACGATGCTACTGCTAATAGTGATCGTGGTCTGCTTGTCACAACCGTCTTCCTTGACTTCGAAGGAACTCTTGATAAAGCTCCACACAGGGGATTAATTCTTAAGCTAGAGTCGCACGGGTTCCACGACCCCTTGT